TAAAAGTTGTAATTTTTTTTTGTTGCGTAAGTAATTACATTTTTATGATATGATTTATAATTTTTACTCGATATCTGTCGCAGAAGCTATAATTCGTAAACAATTAAATATACAGGGAATGACAGTCTTTAATCGACGTTTTTAGAACTTTGTCAAAAATAAAGTAAAAAAGAGGGATTTAAGCAAGGAAAGCAAAAGGTGCTATCGAAATCTGTCTAATAACTTATTGAGGAAGAAAGAATTAACGGTGTTTTTCGAAGTTCTGTCGCCAAGGAAAATAGAAAAGCCATAATTTAAGTGCTTTACACTTGAAGCAATGCGATGATTTTAAACTATATATATGTAATCTTGCCATGATGAAATAATTATCTATGCTTTAGAACAGACAATTAACTTAAATATTTTAAAATTTATTAAACTTCTTTAAAAATCGCAAATTTGGCAACATTTTTCCATCTAGATGAAGTAAGTTTTTAAAGTAAGTATTCAAATATTAAAAAATTAAGCCACAAACGCAGGGCTCGAAAAAACTCAGAAATTTTACACGTCCCCGAGGACGGCTTGTCCAACAACGTACCCGTCCTCCTTGGAAACTAACTCGTAGCTTCTAAATTAATAAAAATATAATTTTCTCTTCTTCATTACAAACATTTAAATAAATTGCACTGTGAATTAGTAGTTACTAGGATTACATTATACAGTAATAAACGAAATACTAGGTTACTAATAGTAACCTAGTATTTCTGTTATGAAATAATTTCTTTCTTTTATGAAATAATTTATTTCTTTTATGAAATAATTTATTTCTTTTATGAAATAATTTAAATGACAAAGGTCAAGTTATCTGTAATGTCAATTTACCCGAGGGTACTGCGTTTTTTAAAGGAATCAAATTTGACGTTTGCCAGTTCCACAATCAAGCCAATGATTTACAGAGGTTTCTGCACAGAAATCTTAAAGGGGTTTTCCATTTAGGTAGCCGTTCATAATTGCGTTTAACCCTTCTTGTTTAAGACCAGTACGTAATGTTTTTTTTTTGTAAGTTCATTGCTGAAAAGCAGCTTTCAACCACTGCAGTACTCTCAGACAGAGAAAACATCAAACATCAATTCCACCATGAGCAGTATGTTGCTGTATTGTGGGTCATTTTGCTGCATTAGGTTAATAAATAGCTTAGACGCGGAGGAATGAAGTTTTCTGATGTTTAACGATGTTATGTATCTTAGATTTTAATGACACCTATTCTTGAGAAAAATTTTCTTTATCTACTCCTTCAAAAAAGATTGTAAGATAACAAAAATTGAAAATGTATCACGAACATTAACGGAAAAATGGCCGTCCACGCGGGCGTCGGATTCGAGAAATTCGTTGTCCGCTGGGAATGACGTTTTTGACCACCGAAGACGGGCGGACGAGCGGTTTTTCGAGACCTGCTCAAACGCGTTAAATTTTCACAAAACTGTGGCTTTTCTCCATATTGACGTTTAGTGCCAATTTCAAAATAAGCGTAGACAGCGCTGGCTTTAGATAGGCTAAATTTGATCTAACAGTCATTAGTAACAGTTACAAACCCCACAGCATTTATTAAAATAGCATTTATTATTATTATTCGCAAAAAAGCATCATTTCAAATTGACGAAGGAGCCTTTGAAACACAGCCTTAAAAACACAAGAGTCCTTTTTTATGGCCTGATGAAACTACACAAACCTGTTACATCAACATGAGCATCACCAACTGTAGACATCAACATGAATAACCAATCACAGAGAGCAGGTGGCAGCACTTTGTAGTGGAGCTTACATAAAGGGTGTCCCAGGAAATTGCAAAATATTGCAATCGTTGACGTAATGCAAAAACGATGCGATTTGTCTGATATGCAAAAGGACAAGATCATGGATTTTCGGGTCAAAGGTGGAAGCATTTGAAAAAAGCTACTGTTCGCGTGTTTACGAGGTAAAAGTATACATTGCATGGCAAAATGTATCAAATGTGGTGAAACACGGGCCATAGATGACAGAGGTAAACGATATCTGTGGAGCTACGTTCGTAACGTGCAACCGTTAAGCAATTAATTGTTCAAATGAAATAAGGAATTAACAAGAGTGTTTCCTCAACGACAGTTCAGGAACGTAGCTGCGTATGGGCCTCAGAAGTAAACGTTAATGCACTTATGCTAATTGCTGTTCTTCGGCAACGAGTACTTGAATTTGCACGCCAATACTGCAACTTGATGTCCAATGAGTGGAGACAGGTGGCTTTATCCGATGGATCACGTCTTATGCTACATCGGACTGACGGCCGTTGGTGTATACGGCATAAAATGTCTGAAAACAAATACTTAGCAACAATTGCCGGATAGGTCCGAGCTGAAGGAAGGAGCATTATGGTCTGGGGAATATTTTCGTGACATTCGTTGGGTACATTCGTCACTGTGGAAGGCACGATAAATCAACAGTGCGCACCTGTCCTTGCGGACCATGTTCAACCTTGAGAAATGTTTTTCTTAAGGATGATGGTATCTACAAGCAGGATAACTGCGAAGCGTCATACAGCTATGTGTGATTCGAAGAGGACCAGCATGAGTTTAACGTACTCCCCTTGCCACCAAACTCACTGGACTTAAACCTAATCAACAATTTGTGGGACTATTTCCATCGGGTTGTTCGTACCATGGATCTTCAATAGCGTAAACTATCGCAGCGAATAACTTTATCTTAAGATGCAGCGTAGAATTGCGATATAATAATAATTTATAATTATAATAAAAACAATTCTCTTGGTTTTAAATTCTTAATTTCAAAATCAACCAAAATCACAAACGTAATAATAGCAATGCAGGTTTACCTTTAAATTAGGGATACTAAAATATCTATAATAAAACAATACCTTTATGACTTTTCTTAATCTTTTTTTTTGACAACCAAAACAATATAAAAATCAATGTGGGAAAACTAGGTCTTACCATGTGGTTTTCTGGCCAATACAAATTCACAGATAAGAATGGAAAGCAGTGTAATACCATTATGTTTTAATGTCATACAGAGAAATAGACCGTGTAAAAAATATATTGTTACAAATTTATTCAATAAAATATTTGTTGAATGCAAGTAAATTGATTGTTAAACTGAACTTACCATATTTTTTCTGCACTTTACCAAAAATTACTGGAGTAGATATCAGCATCATAAAGAAACAGAAAATTGCGCAAGTACAACCTAATTCCTTAATTAAATTTAGATATTGGCATTTATCGCATGAAAAAAAAATTTAAGCATTTTTTAACTAGAATAATGTAGCTTTTAATATGAATTTGTTTAACAAATTCACAGAATTCATTAGAAGCTATACAATTTAATTTGTAAAATTCGAAGCTATACTACGAAAATCAATTTTCCCTCTCTTACTGACAACTGAATAGAGTTTGATTAAAATAAAAAAAATTATATTTTCTTATCATTGCTAAGTCTTGGACTTGAGTAAAAAATTTTTCCTTTTCCTTGGAATGCTAAGCTGTAAGTTACGTTGTTTTTGCACCGCAGGCTAATTATTTTAAAAGTTTTCTTTTTGCGGCTTTCCATTGTTCTCCAAAAGGATAGTCTTATAATCAGTCAATTTAAGAAAAAATTTTATCATTAGTTTTCCTGTTTAGACACGATACGTTTAACCATGAAGGTATTAAAAACACTTATTAAGAATAAGCTTATTTAAAAATAAACTTAATATGTTTATTTTTTTTAAGAAAATCATTATTAAATTGGATCAGGTTTGGGTTAGATTGACTGGTAATGACTCAAACAAAAGGCATAAGGCAAAGATACAAAAAATAAAAAAGTCAAGCATCTCGGAGTTGTATGGGTTGTTCAGAAAGTAATTTCGATTTTTACCAATAAAAGACTTAATTGTATTTTTACACAGCCAACTTCACATTTAAACCACATAATTATTATATATTTTGACTGCTGATATAGCAAAGCTTGCTTGTGAAAAAGTAGTTTTTGGTTGGTACTCTTTCAAATATGGAAAATAAATTTTAAGCATACTTTACGTTTTTATTCACGAAAAGGTAAAAATGTTGTTCAAGCAAAAAAGAGTAATTCGATGTGCATGGAGAAGATGTATTCACGCTACGCCAGTGTCAAAACTGGTTTGCAAAATTTTAATATAACAGTTAAGATGCACCGCGTCAGTCGAAGCTGAAGAGACACAACATGGGCATTAATTGTTGCTAACTGGCGAATAATAACTAGTGAAGCTATTGAGTGATTAAATTTATCGAATTCAACAACAGTACATGACCATTTGAAACTCCTAAAGTTTACTCTACTAAGGTTTACAAAGCTTGACATGTGAGTTCCTCACGTTCTTACGGAAAGAAATATATACCGCCGCTTTAACATCTGTGATTTGCTTCTTAAATGTCTGGAAAATTATTCATTTTTTACGAGGGATGAGAAATGGATTTTCTACAATCTCTCTACAAAACATTTTAGACGGTAAAATCTTTACTTTAAATGAGAAGGTCAAAAATTATCTGGATCAGTTTTTTTGCCAGCACAGAACAAACATTTTATGCGCTTGGAATCATGCTACAACTTAAAAGGTGGAGAAGGATATTAGTCAAGGATGGACTATATAATACAATTAAATATTTTTTTAATTTAAGAAAATGGTCCGTCAATTTCATTTTAAAAAAAAACGTAATTATTTTTCGAACTGTTCAATTGGATTCAATGGAAAAATTCCATTCGAGGTGTTTTTTATTCGACTGAATTTCATATACTGTTTTTTTTTTAACTTATTTCAAATTTTTAAATGCTACTAGTTCCATTTCATTCAAGCAAAATCATCGCAGTAAAATACTGTCACGCGGAGTTATAAGTTACCTTTTTTCAGCATAGAGAACAGAGTATATATTGAACATATCAGTACCTTAAAAGTTGTTCACGATTTGAAACCAAATTAAATACGACACATTGATAGAAGCAAAATATTTACTCACCAATAATGTCGCATACTTCATTTCTTGTAATGTTCCTTTAAAAAAAGATTCCTGTCCAGTTGTGATGCTTAACGAAGCACATTGAACATACCAAAACCAGAGCTTCAGGGAGTAAAATATCATTGAATTTATTTTCCAAACACGAAATGTAAACGTTTTGTTTCAATTCTAATATTGTGTTCAGTCATGTATGTTACCATTACTTAACCACAATAGAGATATCTAAGCTGACGTTAATGAGCGTACATGCCGACTGAAAATTTATTCACGATCTATTTGTTACTGGTCATGCCAATTGAAATACGCTTCATTTCAAAGTAAAATAGTACAAGCAACTGGTTACCATTAATAAGCAAAGCATAACGACATTTGATTGAATGATAAAAGTCAAGTGGTATACTTCAGCTTCTAGCTTGGTCATCTCAATTTTTTGCTTTATTCCTCTAAGATCTTCCTGAAAATGCACAATAGCACTTTTTCCTTAAAATTAAGTATCTTATATTACTTTACTTCATCAATCATTTAATTCATTCCTTTTTACAGATTCAAGGCTGGTATCCCTGAAATAATTTGGCAGACAGATGGAAGAACACCAAATAGAAGAAGCATCAATGGTTACGAAAACAGCATAACAACTAACTTAAGAAGTCAAAATTTACCATACAATGGAACATAGTAAAAGTTAATTTACAGGTAAACTAACACTTAAACTTCCATCATGGTTGAAATGAAAGGATTGGAAGATAACAGGGCTGTACCCAGGCCCTTGGACACAGATGGTTATGTACCACCACCAGATTCAAACGATCCTCGTGCCAGAAGTGGACCAGGTTCTAAGAAAGACATCATCGACAATGTGTGTTCTTCATTCAATCAAGACCTTCTAATTGCCAAAACATTTTATTTCTTTTTCTTTTCTGCTTTTGGCTCTCTTTTTCCTCTTTTGGCTGTTTATTTCAAACAGATGGGCATGAATCCAACGCAAAGTGGTTTCTTAATTGGCGTTCGACCTTTTGTGGAGTTCCTGGCTGCCCCATTCTGGGGCAGTATGGCAGATAGATTTCGGAAAGGTAAATTATTCTTAGATATCATTAAACATTTTTCAGAGGATTATAAAGTAAGCAAGAACTTAAAAATAATCTGAAAACTAAAATTATTTGGTTTAGTAAATATCTAGTGAATAATTATGCTGCTTGTTTACATCCCCCCAAAAAATCAATTCTTCAAATAAATATTCGTTCTAGGCTTAATTTTTTTTTCATATCTGTATCCATTTTTATAATTAGATGTTGAATAATTTGAGTGTATACATTTATTACGCATAAATAAAAAGAAATTGTGTTCCTTTTAGGAATGCATCAAAATTTCTAAAAATTTGAACGTTATTATTTGTGAAATAAAAACGTTTCTTACTCATTAATATGATTAGGCTAACGAAAACAATAGCTTTCAGACGCTAGTTTATTTTTTTCCTCCGTACATATATTTAATATGTTCTACCGTTTCAATTTCTTTATTACTTTATTTCTTTATACCGTCTCAATTTATCCTCATTCCTCGAAATAAGTTTTAAATATTTCGAAGCAATCAATTTTAATTGTAGCTAACTTTTGAGACATGAATAAATTTTTTCATCTAATTTTAACTTTATTTTTCACTTATTAATAATTTTAAAGACTATCTCATTTAAAAACTATTCGCAAAAAAATTGCCTGGTTTACTTCTTTAGGATCTTAGTTTGTTTTACAGTAAATTAAAATCATTTATAACATATAGATTTCAACAATTCGACACAATTGGTACAACTTAACACTTTTTCTTTAATTCTATAATCCCAAATTACAAATAAAAAACGCATAAATATTTTATTTTAAGTGTTATTTATGTTATAATCAGCAGTTAAATTCGATATATTTTTGGATACCAAAATGAAAACTACCAATGTTTAATTTTAATAGACAGTGTTTTGCAATGACCGCCATTTATGTGTATATTTATAATTTTTGAATATTTGGGTTCGTACCTTTCAGTTTCATCCAACAAATATATTGCAGTTTGATTTATTTTCATTTAACATTCCTTATTAACTCCAATAATGAATCATCATATTTTGAGAACGTTTTTGTTTTTCTCACTTAAGTAATTTGAGAATGATATTTCAATGTACAATAGATATTTCTAGTGTGTGATTGCAGAAGACTCCGTTTGCAATTTTATCATCGCAACATGTCATGTTTCTTTTTTGTATTGCAGGTAAAATAATGTTACTGTTTTCCCTGCTGTCCTGGATTGTCTTCACTTTAGCGCTGGCATTCATTCAACCGCCTGCCTCATCATGTGTAATTTACAACAACACTCACCACGTTCTTTTCATTCCCGACAAATCAGAAACAGGACGGGCTAAAAGATCTGTATCTCTAGACCTTAGCGACTACGATCCCATCTACGAAGACCAAGAACTCATAGATCAAGTTTTGGCATACGAGGCCTCTAAAAGCAGGGACAGATATTCATATCTTCAAGAACCTAACTCCACCGACGAGGACATCATCGACAGCTTAGATGAAAACGAAATAGGAAATTGGCTGATGGGCATCAGAAAAAGACGCGAAAAGGAAACCGAAGCTGCCAAGGAAGATAAAAAACCAGCCAAACTGAAACCTAAAGACAAAGATTATCCTTCATACGTTGTTGGACAGTCACCAAATTCTGTAGAATTTACTCTAAATTACAACAAAGATCAGCATACTTCATATGTTTCGCCACGTTTTAGTTCCATAGTTTACAAATGGGAAGATGTGCAGGAGGTATTCTTCCTACTCGTCCTTTTGATAGTACTTGGCGAGTTTTTTAGTGCTCCTGCCATTACCCTCGCAGATTCAGCTACAATATCATACTTGGCTGATAATGCAGATAATTACGGAAAACAAAGAATGTTTGGTTCACTAGGATGGGGCTTGGCCATGTTCTTCGTGGGCATAGCACTAGATCAATCTACTGCATTTCCTGATCATCCCTGCGGGCCACATGAAAGAGAACGGAATTACACCATTTGTTTTGCCACTTTCTCCGTTCTAATGGGATGTGCACTGATAGCTGCCACGCAATTGAAATTCGAATATGAGGTGATTGAGGATCAGGTGTCTATGAAAACGATAATACAAAATGGCGCTCAACCTCAAGTAAAAGGTAGTGGTTTACCAAGTTTTCTCACTGAAGGAACGGTTATGGATGATTCACCAATACCAATACCACCTCCTCAGAAGCCTGAAGAAACGGCTCCAAAGGTAAAGCAACTTGTAACTATTTGTTTTAAATAATTTCATTATTAGAAAAATCAATTTAAGGTTTGACTTATCCGTTACATTGAGCCCTAATAAGTTGAAGCATATTTCCAAGCTATTTCTACCATAGTATGAATCAAGAATAAGAGGATCATCTTAGATATGGTTCAACTTTCAATCTTATTAAGGTTCTAGCAAGTTAACAAGGTTTTATGCTTAACTTGCATCGTACAGCTTTTTCAATTCATCTTTTTATTATGAATCAATTTTTTGGGGCATCAATTTTGTTTTTATTAACAATTAATTGTTTTAACTGTATTACGAGACATTACGATTAAAAATCAAATTGCAATATTTAATCGTTTTTAATTTTATTCTTATTAAAAAAGTTGCATTTTTGTTAAGTTCTTAAAGAGGGATATTAAATTAGTTATTTAGACATTTTTGAGCCGGTAGATGGTTCAATCATTTCTAACAGGACAGTTCTTAGAAAAAAAATGCTCAAAATTCTAAAACCTAACGAAAATGATTATAGTTTTCTATACTAATAAGTTAAAACTTGTAATTCCTACTTACCAAACGTAATTTTACGTATAGATCTTTAATTTATTCTACAGAAATGCTGCCAACCAAAATGAAGGCATTTGTCGGCCTATCATCGTATCGGGCCATCAAGGCTCATTTTGAAATGGAAAGCTAACGAAATCAAAATAAAACATTATACTCTGAAATACATAAGCTGTTTAATTATATAATCGATATTTTTAAAGTCACATTACTTTTACCACTCAAATTATTAGAACTATGCTCGGTAGTCCATAATCATCGCCTTTAATTTATATTTTTTAAATCAGTGTACACACGTTAAGTCACAAATTGAAATATATATAAGAAACTAATAAAAAAATTTCAAAATTCGACGAATTGAGGTTCGTAGAATTAAGATGATCAAAACCAGTTTCATTTTACCCCCTCTCATTTTCCTCCAGCAAGCAAACATGTTTTGATACTTCAATCTCCCCTTAATCGTTAATTCTTCAAGTTTTTAGGACATTTTTTCTCCTTGCTTAATATACAATGTCAAAGATTAAAATTTATTATTTTTTTTACTTTTCTTTCTCTTTTATTATTATTTATTTCTAAATTTCTAAAATTATGTAATGAAAGCAATAATTATAGAATACCCAATACAAAAATCGGATTTTATTTTAATTCTATAAACCGCGATGGCTCAGTGATTAAAGACACTGAGCTGCTATTAAGAAAGACTAAGATTCGATCCTCAATAGCGACTTTAAGCTTAGACAGAGTCATATTGATGGGGTGCAAGCTTTTCTGTGAAGTAAAGGCGGCTTGTGCACAATACTGACCACATTGAACAATTTGTCATTATTCACGAAATGCTGATGCTTTTAACCCTATGTCATTCCTAGCTCAGAACTGGTTGTTGCCGGAATATTTTATTATTGTTATCAAAAACTATTACCTGCTTAGATACCAAATTATTTCCCTAAAAATAATCATTTAGAAAGAAATCTCATAATTTCATTCGTTCAGTAAAAGCATTTAGGCAAATTCTTTAAAGTGAAATACCAATAGCGTTATTCGATTAAGCTCTAGGGGAAAAAATATTACATTAGAAAGTATTCGTTCATTTTAAATCAATGAAACATAAAATGCGTTAAGGTAATTGAATAAAACTCTTCATCTAATATTTAATATAATTATTCCCACTAATAACCTTTGGGAAAATTTCTAGTAACACATAATTCGATTGTGTCTACGAAATGTCTTTAATGTAAAAGAAGGGAAAAAAAAGATTAGTTTCGTATTATCGTATATATTTTCACATTCTTTCTACTTTATTATAACGAGATATTCTTTTTAGCAGGAAAATTAAATTAAAATCTCACATAAAACATTATTAGAAAATTATGTATATAATGACAAGTATTAGATTTTTATTACTTTTTCTTAGATCACATTAGTTGCATGTTTAATTAAAATAAAAGTAATTTAAGGATATAAAAGCAATTTTAAAAAAGGGTAAATTGCTGAGTAATTTTGAGTGAACTAAACTCTCACGATTATTTTTAAGAATCACTTCTTATGGGTCTAATTTCTGGCTCTGAGAGGCATAAACGAATAAATAGCTTTTTCTAAAATATAAAATAAATAATTAAAAATTAAAATAAATGCTTTTATGTATGAGACACGTCGTGCATGACTTTTAAATCAATTTTTAGCTTTAAAACATGTAAAGAAATTCCATTGTGAGTTTTAAAAAATTTATATATTAAACACTATAAAATTGCTTAATGATTGTTGCTTTTTATAATATTTATGCCAACCACTAAGGCGCACGTCGCCTGATCAATCACGTGATCGCATGATCTTGATCTTATTTCTCGCTGGTTAAGAGGTTTTCTGGTCCAAAAGTTTAAAAAATATATATATATAATCGATTTTTTTTTTTTTAGTTGCATATTTTGATGCCTTATACTATGTGTTCAAGAGCAAACAGTGCGCTGGCGTTGTCATTGCAGGGATGCCAACTTGCTCCGGACAGCAAATATATATTTTAAAGTGGTGGCTTATCAAATGTGATTCTTGGTTTAATAAATTCAATTTAGTAGATTTTCATCCACCACTATTTCTAAATAATTCGTAGGCTTAAATAATTCACCACTTTATAGTAATTATGTCATGTTATACCAGTTTAAAAAGCAAGCACAAATAGTCAAATATTTTCAAAATTTACTTTGCAGTTCTTTACCGTTTTTTAAATTATTTTGGCGTGTCCGGAGCAGTTGGCATCTCTGTCATTGCATGAGTTGCTATGGTGACTGCAGCTGATTATTAATTTTTAGAATTCTTTTTTATATACAAATCAAATTATTTTGATACACTTGCAGCAGCACAGCACTGTGTTTTTGAGATTTACATTGACCACCATTGAATTTTCTCCAAACTTTTTTCAGGTGTCTTAGTCTTTCTAAGTGTCTTCCTACTTTCACATTTCAATTATAATATCTTAATCTTTTATGAGGACATCCAAATTGTGCGTACGCATTAATTTTTGGACGTGACCGCAACGCCTGCAAAGGGTGTGAGTCTTGTTCCTTCGCTTACCAAAACTTTACGCATCTTTCGGTATGTGGGTATATTTCGCTTTTTTATGTTGGCGGAACCGTTTTGTAAGGAAATTTTTTGATTTAGTTGAAAAACGCGATCATCGGACCTGCCGTTCCGCGTCGTCAATGGGGCTCACGGATGACGCAGCAAGCTATCAGGCCTATATTGCCGTGTAATTAACACGTTGAGCGCCGCGTTAGCCACCGGTGTCTGGCACTGAAATTACATTTAGGCCGCGTCAACCACCGGTGGCTGACACTGAAATTACATTTAGGCTGCGTCTGCCACCGCTTGCTGACACTGACCTTTCACCTTAAAAACAGCTGGCTGACAGCGTGTAACATGAAATAGAATTATAAAATTTACCCTCTTTTATGGAATTGCAGAAAATTTATTCAAAATTTACTTAACTCCTTCTCGCTCCCGAGATATTGACGGACTGGAGTGTTCAGTAGTAACGCGCCAATAAGAATAAAACTAATTAATTTCGTTTGCCCGGAAAACATTTTATTTCTAATTTTACACACCTGATGGCAGTACCAGGATATTTTGAAGGTAATTGTAGATAGTTAGTTTATTTTAAACTAGATGCAGTACTAATCAAATACGTAATACAAATACAAAAGCCAAAAAAATAGGCACTTTTATGACCGTTTTCTTAAAAATATTTCTCTACAGAAAAAAAAAACTCTGCGTTAAGTTTGTAAACAAATGTGGCCCTTTCATCCTGCCAAATTTCAACCTCTAGTTGAATTTCTGCGACCTGTAATGCTGCATGAGATATTTTTTCCAACAAGTTTAACAGTTAAATTATCGAATTATCGATCAAATTGTCGAATGTTAATTTTTTTTTCATTCAGGTGTCAGTCACCCATATGATTTATAAATAGAGATTTATAAATATATTTTAGCGACTTATAAATATTTCGGGATAGAAAAAATTTAAAATGTAACTGAAAGGGGACGAAATGTATATAAATTATTCTTTCTTTCCACTGAAACAAATAATGTTAAAAATTAGGCTTTAATTGGACCTCTAGACCAGAAAACTACATTAAGAGGTTATTATATCAAAATTAATAATTGTTCGATTAAAAAGTCCCAAAATTTTTATTGCTTATTGCTTTTAATCGCTTTTTTAGCCTCCGGTTATATTAGAATAAAACTTAAATTCCACCATTTTGCTTGGTTACCATTGCAGCTTCATCTAATTTTTTTTAATTACTACTTGAATTTTGCAACTAAAAAAATCAAAAAAAATCGTTTAAAGTGATTACTAAGTGAAAATGAAGAAGCCACTTTTTAATATTGCTTTAAAATTTTAAATAGTTATTTCGTTTTCATTAATTTTATAAAAACAACACCATTTTACGTAAAACTTATTATCAAAGTAAATATTACTCATCAGATTTTGACAGCTTAAATATTATAAAATAATAACACAATCTATATATCATAACATATTGTTTAATAAGGTAAAATTATTCGATTAATTAATAGTATATTATAAGAGCATTACCTAATCAAAACCTTTATTCACTTCAAAATTAAATAAGTAGCAAATAACAGTCGACATGCTTCAAGCGCTTCAAATACAGGCGCTCATTTTCAAGACATGTCACGCGTGAATGAGAAAAAACATAACTTATTTTAAAAACAAAACAAACTTAAAGTTGTCAATGAAAAATGGAAAGATTAAGGCGAAAAATAAGCTAGAAAAAGCACAGTTGCCGAGAAAGAAAAAGGTGAAAAACAGAACAAGAAAAAACACAGTGGTCGAGAAGGGCAAATCAGAGTAAAATATATTTCCATGCGTTATAAAGAGGCAGTGAGAAACTAACAAGGGAATTAACAATCATCTGAATAAAACAAGATAAACTGATGTGACTGAGCTTTTATTTATTTAACACTACTTTTAGCTTGAACCATTAATTTTGGATATTAATCAAAATTAAATACATAATTGAAGCAGTTAATAATACTAAGAAGAGAAGGTTAATAAATATTTTCAAACAAGGTATAAATAATTTTTGTAAATTATAGATCATTTAAATAAAAATACCAAAAAATCTCCGTCCAATATCTGTCCGATAACAGTATATCTACAAAAATAGTTTTATGATATACAGAGAAATGTTTTTCAAAACTAGGAACAATTAATATAATTAAAAAAATTAAATTTTGTTTTTTATTATACAGGTTTGCAAATCTATTTATTAGCTATTTTTTTAAATAATAATTTCCATAAATTTAGAAGGGAATTTTTATTCATCAGGCATAGATTTAGTTTGACTTAGATTGCGATAAGGGGAATGTCAAAAATATTTTTTAATGCAACAATGTAATAAATTAAGCATTTTAAAATATGCAAGAGTGGATGATTAGAACTTTAAGAACTAAAACCTGATGTTCTGGAAGAATACGGTTGACTGTCTTGTACTCTGAAATAACAAAACATACAAATTGCTTCAAAAAAAAAAAGTGAGAGAGACTTTTAAATATTAAAACATTCCTATCCGAAGGAAACTTCATTTTATTCATATTCCTTTTGTAACAATGTTTAAAACATGGTGTATCTGAATGTTTTAACGAACAGTTTTGCAGAACTTTGACTAAAATATTACATATTTATTTAATTTTTACAGAGCACAGTTTTTGCCCAAACAACTCGACAGCTTCCTGAGTGGCTATCAGTCTTAAGAACATTCGCCAATTTGAGATATGGAGCTTTTTTGTATGTGACATGGTTCATGGGATTTGGCATTGGATTGGTCTTCACTTTTCTGTTTTGGCATTTACAAGACCTAGGAGGTACGCCAACTCTGTTTGGCGTGGCTTCTGTCATCAATCACATCTCAGAGATATTCGCTTATTTCTTCAGTTTCAAATTCATTCGACAAATAGGACACACAAAGGTAAGGCTGTGAAATGTTTGCAATTATTATTAGATTAAGCGTCTATTAGTTTTGCGATAGGGTACTTGCACGTCAGGAAGAAGATACCCACACACGTGACCCATGACGTCAGCGCCAACTGATTGTTTATAAGCAAAATGGCGTGTTTAAGTTGAGCTAATTTTCTCCTCACAAGTTAGAATGTTAATTATCGCAAAGTTAATTAAATACAGTGCCGTATCGCACATCTAATTTGCTGAAATAGAATTCTTTCTTATCTACGTCTTTTACTTAACTTAGATTCATTATTTGCTTATGTTTTTTATTGTAACCGTGATATATTTTTGCTTTGTGCACCTGGCAACTTCGATGCTTAATTAGTTTTAGTATGTTCCATAGGTTTCGTGCCAGTCTTTGTGTTAAGGATTAAACTCTTTGTGAAAAAATATAGAATGCGCCATTTAAGGGAATTGATACTTTACGGGCTTGGCTTACTCGAAATAGAATGAAAAGAACAATTTCTAACCTAAACAAATACCACGTTTCAGCATCCAATTAGGATCGAGATAGGCACACTACGTCACTTGCAAGTATGCCATTGCAGAAATGTTTAATATCTGATCGATAAAAACTGAAACTAATTTATAAAATTTAAGTATTGAAGATTTCAAGTATTGTATTGCAATTTTGAACTTTCAAAGTCATTTTATTCTAAATAATACAAAAAAAAATTATTTAATTTAATGGGTTTTTTCCCTTTCCTATTTATTCATGTGAGACCCAGAGTAAATTACTCAGTGGAATAGTTTTTTACTCTGTTCATCCTCCTGAGACTTAAGTTACTTACTCAATAGAATAGTTTTGTTTCTCTATTTATCGTCCTGACGCTCAACATAAATTATTCAGTAGAATAGTTTATTATCCCTATTAATCCTTCTAAGACCCAATATCTAATTTTATCACTTAAAAAATGCTTTATCAGATGTTTTTCTATTCATATATTTTTAAAAAATGATTTTCTATTTGAAATATAATTGGTTTTACTCTGATCAAAAACTTTAATTACAATGAAAAATTGTAAGAAAACGTAGAAGTAGTAACTTTTAAGACAGATAAATAAAAATTTTATTAATTGAGTCTGATGTCAAAAATTCGCAGCAATCTTCTGTTAAGACACTGCATATATTTTTAAATTGTCGGATAAAACAGAACTATAATAATAAAAAAATCAAAAGCAATAGAATATTGTAACCAAGAGATTGAACATAGATGTTTAATTCGCTACTCTCAGTTAGAGTACGCCACTTTTATTAAAGTTATGTGTTACCAAAAGGTTAATATGAAATCGATTACCATTATAAAATTTTGTACTTACAGATTAGTGTAAAACTGATTACCATTGTAAAATTTTATACTGACTGGTTAGTATAAAATTTATGACAATTGTAAAACGCTAATCATAACCATTTTTAATTATTTCATTCTTAGGTTTTGTGTATAGGTCTTATTGGAAATATAGGCAGGTTTCTATACATCTCTTGGTTGAAGAACCCTTGGTGGGTTTTACCCTTTGAATTTATACAAGGTGAGTGAATTACCCATTAATATGAATAAAATTTATGAGTTAAATTTTTTAAAATCAATTTTTAATCAATTGTTACCAATGTTATAATTGTTACTACTGTCGTTCAGTTCAGCTCCATTGTGTAAGTTATTCATAAAAATTACGCTACTGGAATAAAGTTTCCTTCATCATTTTTAAACTTTGATGTTTGAATGAAGGAAACTTTATTCTAGTAGCGTATAATTGTTACTACTGTCGTTCATTTCAGCTTCATTTTGTTAAGTTATTCATAAAAATCACGCTACTGGAATAAAGTTTCCTTCATCATTTTTAAACTTTGATGTTTGAATGAAGGAAACTTTATTCTAGTAGAGTAAGTTTTATGAATAACTTAACAAAATGAAGCTGAAATGAACGACAGTAGTAACAATTAAAACATTGGTAACAATTATAACAGCGCTTATTAGGAATAATTTTCAAACAAAATATGCAATGTGAAGTGAAAAAAAAGGATAAAATTTATCTAAGTCGATATCTGCTTGAGAGTAGATTTAAGCAAATTATTATTGATTACAATAATTCATTACTTTATAGTCAAGATTAGATGAAATCATTATTGCTTATAATCAAACTTGCAATAGTAATAAGATTAGATGTAATAATTACTTGTAACTAAAATACCGATTGTTATCATAATAATTTGTTGTCATAAATTATTATTACCGGTAAGCATGGTTTAATATTAGTTGGAATTGAGATAACATTTATAAATTATGAGTGCTTGCTATTACATGATTGAAATTAGTTATTACGATTACTTGTAATCATGATTACGAGTATTAGATTACTTGTAATCAGTCATTTTTCCCAGCTCTCCTTGAAAATCTATCCATTATTACTTGAAATCAAAGTTAAAATAGTAATAAGATTAGATATAATAATTTGTAACTAAAGTGCCGATCGTTATCATAATTTGTAATCATAAATTACTATTACCTGTAAGCATGGTTTAATGTTAGTTGTAATAGCGATAGCATTTATAAATTATGAATGCTTGCTATTACGATTAAAATTGGTTATTATGATTACTTGTAATCATGATTACGAGTATTGGATTACTTGTAATCAGTCATATTTTTCCTAGCTCTCCTTAAAAATCTATCCATCCTTTTTATAAAACCCTATCAGCCTTGTACAAGAAAATTCAACCTTTAGACTTTAGATCAAGTCCTTATCAATTTAGGTGATTTGTTAATCGTAAAATTCTAGTAAAATACATTTTTTCTGAAAACTCTGAGTCACAAAAATACAGGAATATTTTTCTCAATTAGTTTTATTAATTCTTGAGTTAATATATTAACAATATTAACCTACACCTTATCCTCTTTGTTATAAATATTCAATCTTTAAAAATATTGACTCTTTCTTTAACTAATTATTTGAATCAACGTTTACCCTCTAAAACCCATCAACTTTATAAAAATAGGATTTCAAATTTAACGACAATTACATAATATTTTCATACTTTAACGAGTTGCTTAAATCATTATTAACATCGACAGTCTATTATGCATATTATAATAGCCAATGATGAAATAAAAGATCTTAATTGTTAAGATAAAGACTTCCTGTCAAATCACATAATTTGAAGTGTTACAGCAAAAGCGAATGGTTTCCGATAATGCCTTTATTCCCTGCAGAGAATTCAGACGATCTCTTAGATCAGTGGTAGTCATGGCAACCGCACCGGTCACAGATGTAGTTAATATGTATAGACTCCTCAAATATTCATTTACTATCTTTTATTTATTTTTTGATGGCGCAGGTGTGTATTATTTCTTGGCGTTTTTAGAGTTACGCAGGATCACTTTATTCTTCTTTTTGTTACTTATTTCCGTTCGCAAACAGTACTACAAATTGAAAATTTTATGGCACAAGAAGATTTAGGGAGAATATTAAGTGTGCTTTGATTTTTTTAAGTTGAAATTTTTGGTCGCGTAAGGAAAAAATACACACGTTTTATGAATAAGTTATCATTTACGATTTCGCGAGTTACTATTTTGCCATAAAATCCAAAAATTAATGTTTTGCCACTTCTATTTTAACCTTCACCTTTTTTTTTAGCTTGGTGTAGCGTTTGTATCAAGAAAATTACAAGCTATACAAAAATAGAATTTTATTTATTATTTAACAAGTCACCTGGTTATCGTATTCGCAAGCTCTCCAGTTTCAGTTTTTACTCTTATATATAATTTTTGAGTGACGTTTTGATTGGTGTCCAATTATTAAGCAGTTGAATGAGTGTTCGCAAATCAGAATGCTTTCACGTGTTTTAATTAAAGCTTTCTCTCAGGTCCATCAAAAAGGGATTTCTGTGAGGTCCGAATTTTACTGTTGTAATTTATTTATAAATTATAAACTACTGATACTCTCAAATCAGTAACAAAACATACACGAAAAGTATAGGGGAAAAAAGAAATTGTTTATTTTTTAGAAAATTTTTTACCGCAAGATATCTGCTTTTTCTGGTAAGGATGAGTTTGAGGCTTTTTAAGTGATATTGTTTTGATTTTCTTCTGTTTTCCCCAGAATATTAAATTTAATTCGCCGTTTGATTTAAAATGATCGTTTAACTTTGCGTAGTATAGCCGATTCTTGCTTTTGTATTATACTACAAAGTCAATTAATTTAGAAAGTCCTGCATTTTCGTATTGATTGGTTATATGTGTGTAACATTACCTTTTCTTTCATCAGTTCGAAAGATTTAATTTCGAGAATAGCGTGTTTAAGGTTTGTTTGTTTATCTATCTATCTGTGATCGATATCTTCGAACCTGAATAATTTTCTTTCATTGATTTAACTTCATGCAAATAAAAGAATTTCTTAAAAAGAAAAACAATTTCAAGAACTAGAATGATATTTATGACTCTTTAGTATAGTGATCTAAATAAAAATATAAATTTCCTGTTTATTACAGCTAAAGTAAGCTTATACTGCAACCAGTTGAAATTACATCAATGTTAATATAATAAACTAGTGGGCTGCGCCCCCTGCTCGCTAACGCTCACCAACCCCCAAAAATTGCTAAGCAATCTTATATGGTTTGATTCGCTCGCTACTAACTTAGGTACGTTGCATATGCACAAAATTCTAAGAATTCATAACAATCATTCAAATCCATATAACAACTTTTTTTTAAAAAAAAATTACATCTTTTTAGTAAATACTAAGTCATTAAAATAAATTTGAATTCAAATAAAGACTCATTGACTGAGACTCATTTTTCAATGAATAACTAATAAAACGAATAAATATTCGTGAAAAAAAGCGCTTTCGACAAAATACTAAAATAGAAATCTATCGACAAAGACTACTCACTTGTGCCTAGCTTAATAGTATGAGATTGCCGCAGCTGAATTGTTATTTCAGTTTCCATTTTTAAAAGCGCTATATGTTGAGCCACCCCAGCTAGATTTGGCTTGTGACATTTTTAGCGGCAATCATTGGTCGATTTTCTAGCCTTGCCATTCGGGGAGTTGTAATGAGGCTTTTTTTTGTCGCAGTGTAAGAGAAATATATATATAGATATTTTTTATTACCATTTATAAATTAGTGCTCACTTCTAAATCGTTAAAAGAAACAAAATGAGAAACTAATTTTAAATACTAAGCACTGTGATTTAAATTACAAAAAAGATAATTTATACTTGGGTATCTTTCTTGAAATTTCCAAAATAGCATTTCTAAAACCCACATGAATAAACACAATTAATTTTCTTTATTTTTTTGTTTGTTCAGCAGCGAAGACGCTGCAGATAATTAGTACGTGATCAATTAGGTTAGTCTTAATAGTGGTGTGTTTACTCAGTTGTAAACATTCTTTTCTAATCATCTAATATTTTTTTGTTCAGTTATCATAACAAATTATACTAAAAATTATTATTATGCATAAAAAATAAGAACTTCATATATATATTTTTACTTTAACTTGTTCAAATACCAATCGGAAATTGAAAGGTTGTTTGAACAATAAACATAATTAGCAAGTTGTGAGACAAACAGTATTTTTGGCACTAAGTTTTCATTGCATTTTAATCACTAAGCATTATACATTTTTGAGAAAAATTGAAAATCTTAAGAAAAAAAGATAATGAAAAGGTACTAAAAGGGTACGATTAATGCAAATATAAAGTTTAAAAATATATATTCTAAAATAGAGAATCAAAATAATACTGCATTGCATTGTATAAAATTCAATCACTTATAATCTTACAAAGACAAAGGGGAAAAAGGATAGATAATTTTTAAAGTATTAGTGGGAAAAGGTTGAAAACACAGTTTTCTAGAAAACAAGAATAAAGTTTGAAAATTTGTAAGAGATGCATATTACGCATCTCTTTTATTGGTTGTTGTATAATCCTTGAAAAGTTTCAATACACTACGCGAACGGGTCTGAGCCTCTTAACAGTTTCGGTTTGATTGTTTATGTTTGCCTCATAAGTAAGGTGACCCCCAAATTAAACAAAGAGGTTCAACCGGTTCTATTACGGAACAAGCTCTGTTTTGTGTGCATTTAAGAAAGAGAAAGCATTTCAACACACTTCAGAACCAATCTTTGTTTAAATTAAAAGCAAAGATGAGGACTTTTTATGAGGAACATATTTACGTTTTGGCTTTAAGCTGGGTTAACAATTAGTTTAACGGCGTCACAAAATTAAAATTTGACTAGTTGTTCATTATTTGTTTCACTAAAAAATTATTTTAACTCTTTCGGTACTACTGCCACCACTCTTTCGGCAGCCACTAAATGTTTAGTGGGTTTCAACCTCCTATTGACGGAATCCACGAAATATTCCCTGGCTACTACCACCGCTTCCCCTAAAATCGAGATTCAGTTCGCTCTATCCCTTGAGTCATGGTGGCTCAGGAGAAACAGCACTCGCCTCCCTAAAAGGTGGCCCGGGTTCGAATCCCAGCAGTGGTTGGTCGTACCGACCAAAGTGCAAACGTAAAATATCCTCAGTGGTAGACGGATCATGGGTTAGAGTCCACTTGCCATTACATTACCGTGGGAGGTTTTCGTGGTTTTCCTCTCCACGTAACGCAAATGAGGGTTAATTACATAAAAAAGTTCTCCACGAAGGCGAATTTCTCCCAATACTAGATCCAGTAGTTTCTTTGTCTACTAGATTGGGTTCAAAATTACAAGGCAACGGAGTTGAACATTGATAATCATAAACTGAATAATCATAAACTGATTGAACTGTTGCTCGCACTTCGAACTATCGGTGTGTCCCCGGATGCCCCCTTGCTGGGGCAAGCGGGTCGGGGTTAAGCTAGTTGTCGATAATCATAAACTCAGAATTGAGTCGGCTGTTCAACGCCAGTTATTAAAAAAAAATCGAGATTCAAGGAAATTATAGGATTCATATCTTATTACATAAAATATCTAATATCTTCTTACTATAAAAAGTTTTAGTGAAACTTAACTACACCCTCAAGTGTGCGTATGAAAGCTTGATCCCGAATTAACTTGAATTGACACACATTTTTTCGAGTTCTTCAACGCCTAATTCGAATAGGTACTGCACCAGAGTTCTTATAGTTTTTAGTTACATAGTGAGCTTTACTTTATTCTTCTGTGCTTAAAATTCTCGGCTGCTCTAATCGTTCTCGTATGTAATTAGTAACTCCCAAAAGCGGGCGTTAATTGCATATGTTCTACCAATAATATGCGGATAAGCTAGGTGTAAACATTTTCGAAACGTTTTTTTAAACATGTTAAATACTGCTTCAGTCACCGATGACTGTCGCGGTGGAATGAAAAGTTAAATGTCAATCACGCTCAAAATTTCTATTAATTCCGCATAAAACTCTTTTTAGCTGCTTACGCTACAGTACAGAAACAACCACTCAGGTTTAAAGCTTTTCGTAACACAAATCGTCGCTTTGAAACTAAACCGTAGTAACTCAAAAAAATCGGAAAATGAGATATTTGGGTCACTTTGTGTAAAAAAAATCACCCTTTTAGAGAAACAACGTGTTATCTTCAAAGTTCCATAAAATTAATTTAAAGAGCAGATAAATCGTTATCGCATTGGCGCGATTCGCCATCTTGGTTTTAGGGAATAGTGTAGCAGTGTGCCAGTTGCAACAAAACCTTGGAGGAGATAACGTCGCTTTGAAACTAAACCGTGGTAACTCAAAAAAGCAAGTTTTTCAGGAGAGCAATTTTTTTCCTACACTGTTGAATGTCAAAATTTGAAATGAAATATGTAATATTCGGAAGGATATTTTGAAGAACATCGTTGTATTTTGAAATAACTTTCCACTTTTAATAAATGTTTTAGAGAAAAGTGTTACAACTCAAAGTACCTTAACTTATTTCGAAATTACCACAAAATTAGAAATGCTACAAGAATCAGGCCTGGTTCATTGAAAAATGTAAAGAAACAGGGTTTTTTTAATGTAAACTATTTTGCTATAGTCACCATAACTTCGAGTCAACCTGCGGTGGAAGTTCCCGAAAAGTTAGAAATCGCTCTCCTGAGAAACTAGCTTTTTTGAGTTACCACGATTTAGTTTCAAAGCGACGAAATGTATAACGACGCCAGCTTGTCCGTGCAAAAAGGGTTAAAATGGTATCAGCTTTCAGAACAGGAAGAGAAAAAAATGCTCGGCGTATAGTTGAGGGTGATGATTTTTCGTAATGCTATACAGCATAGTAAAGCACATATACATCAGTTTCTATAATTTTGCTTTAAAAAGATATATTAGACCTAGCAGTAATGCTGCATATGTAATGTCATCATCATCATAATTGGCCACAGACAGCCCAATGTGAGCCGCCCATATGTAATGTATATGGAATGCCCATATGTAATGTATATGGATATACCATCTGAAAATATATATGTTTCACGATATATCACAATATTTCTCTTATTTCAATAATTGATATTATTTTGAATAGATCAATTTGAGTTCATTTTCGTAACTGAAATGAAATTTATCAACTCCCCTGATAATATCGTACGAGATAACATAAAGGTTTCGTTAAACTATCGACATTATCATTTTCGATATTATTGTGAATAATAATCGAGATATCATTGTTAGAGATAGTTACCGTAAGATATGTTGTTCTGGATGGTAGATTACAATCGTGATGCTAAAAAAATCGATATTCCACGATTCACTCATCTTTACTCTGCAAGTTAAAGTAACATGTACAAACAGCTTACTAATATTAGCTGTTTAATTCGCCATTGCATGTGACAGTTGGTCACTTAATCTGTATACATTCTTTGTAATAATACTCTTTGATTTAAGTAATTAAACGGATTCAGAAAATATTATTTTGCACCATCAACTACATACACCGAAGAGTCATTACATTATGACTACCCTGCTAATAACATGTAGGACCATCTTTAGCCCTCAAAACTGCTAGCACCCGCCGTGGCAATGATTCCACAAGGTGCTGATAGGTAGTCTGAGGTATCTGGTATCAAGCGCTCACCAACTGGTTCTGCAATTCCCTCACATTGCGAGGGGGTGGCGTGGCAGCACGAATTTGGTTTTCCAAATAGGACCACAAATGCTCTATTGGATTAAGGTCAGGTGAATTTGGGGGTCAAGACATGACTTGAAAGACACTGGAATGTTCCTCGACGATTCGAGCCTCATGACATGGTGCATTATCCTGTTGGTAAACCCCATCCCCTGCAGGAAAAACTGTTGCCATGAATGGGTGAACCTGGTCTGCAACTATGTTCAAGTAGCTTTCAGACGTCAGGGATTGTTCTATGACTATTATGGATCCTAATGTGCCCCATGAAAACATTGTTCCTGGGCGAGAAACCATGAAAACCTGGGTCGCAGTTTTAACCTCAGCTNTGTTATAGATGGAGGGTGGTCATAATGTAATGGTTCTTCGGTGTATAGTTTGCTAATACTACTTTAATAATTGAAATGTTGGTGCAAAAATTCTAAATAAATTAAATAAGCTAATTAAATAAGTCCCGGACAGGCCAGAACAGTGACTTTTAGGTAATTTTAAATGTTTTTCTTTTTGGAAAATTATAAAAAAAAAATAATAATTTGTATATACATGAGAAAAATTATTTCTCAAGATTGTGAGAAATAACTTTCCATCTCAAACCAATCTTGTGATATTTTATTTGGACGTGATATTGTTGAGTTTTTGGAGACTCACTCAAATACATAAAGAAATAAGTTTATTGCTGTTTTATATATATTAAAAAAATACAAAACAATTTATTTAAAAAAACTGAAATCAAAAAATTTTCGTACTCTAAATGCGAGCTATACACGCAAAGATTTCATTTTGTTATAAAAGAAAAGAATATTATCCTTTGTAGATTTCTTCCTTTTTTTTAAATTCAAAATATTGCTTTAAGCGCAAAAAGAAAAAGAAAATCAGTTAGGATTCACAAGAAAAGCGAAAAAAGGAATATTTTTCATCTTTCGGTGTTTCTGTGTTTCTGACATTCCATTAATATAGTTAACTGAAGAAAAAGATGCAACATTCGTTTAAACAAAAGTAATTCTTTTTTATAGNCGGAACCTCCTAGTAATCTAGATATTTCTCTGATAACGTCTTTTTTTCGATTTTTTTTCTCAGCTTAATCTTGCTGGTTAATAAACATAATTTTTCCATGTTTTTTTTTTCAATTGTTTCTTTTGTGCAACAAACTTTAAAATCTTTCTGTAAACTTTCAAGGATTGGAAAATAGTAATCAAATCCATGTTCCAATAATAATTTTCTCCAACCTATATATTTAGAAAAAGTATTTTCGAATTTCCTAAAATATTAATGTAATTAGTGTTTATTGCTAATATAGTATTTTTAAAATTAATATTTGTTTATACTTTATTTGTTTATAATTCTTAATAAAATGGTTAAAGTTGGAGCAATGATAATCTAGATATTCCTCTGATAACGTCTTTTTTCGGATTTTTGTTCTTTACGCAATCTTGCTGGTTAATAAACGTAATTTTCCCCCATTTTTTCCAAGTGTTTCTTTTCTACAACAAACTTTAAAATATTTCAGTTCACTTACTAAGATTGGAAAATAATAATCAAACCATGTTACTAAATATAAATGAAATTAATCTAATCTGTTCACTGGTATAGATATGTATAACGTAACAAATGCACTTTGTGAATCAAATCGGAGATAAGCACACGGAACGGAATATTTAGTTTTGGTCAAAAAAACTCATTCACCAAAGCTTCTAAGTTCATGTTTTACATAATATTACCATTGTTTGTTTTTTTAAATTTGTTTCAAAAATACGATGGTAAAGATTAAAAGGTATGCCTTATAAAGTTATAGATATTGATAAAAAGAGATGTGCTCGATGTTTAAATTTTTATTTTCTTTTCGTGAAATTCTATATTATTTAGACAGTCCTTACATGTTGGTAGTTTCTCTTGATTCATTTTTCTTTTCATTCATTCTAAAGAATAAGTTGTATACATTACAACCTTTAATTTTGTTAGGTATCACACATGCAGCAGTGTGGGCTGCATGCTGCTCTTACATTACTCAGGCTACACCTGCTAACCTGAGATCATCAGCTCAGGGAGTGCTGCAAGGACTCCATCATGGGTTGGGCAGAGGATGCGGTGCTGTTATCGGTGGAATATTTGTCAATTACTTCGGTAAGGAATTATTACTTTCAATTTAAGATTACAGGAAATAAAACGACTGTGCCTAACTTCATAATATTTTTATAAAATTAGATAAACTGTGGTTATTTTAGGACCTTGAGATAATTCTTTCTTTTTTATAGAAAATAATTAATTAAATAAAGAAAATAAATAGTTATTTCTTTTCTTTCTTCAAAAAAAGAAACGAAATCATAAAAATTAAAAAGCACCCGCAAAAACCAATAGTCAGACAAAGCAATCAGGGTTGTTAAAACTCGACAATTTCGAACCAAATTGTCGACCAACATTTTCATTTTTACACCAAATTGTGGGGCAAGGTGGTCCATGTAGGCTTACTAAATAGTAATATCATAATCAGTATATAAAAAAATACATGTGATTGCACTTGAAAGTAATTACTTTTAATCACTTTGCTTTCGGGACCAGATTGTGAACCAAGGAAATAATGTACTTTAAAATTTAACAAATATGATATTCAGCTTAAGAAATGCGTGTAATTACAACGAAAAGAACGAATTTATGTCTGTAGCGTTTGACTTTTAATGGCTAATATACCAATGAATACCTGCAAGCGAACTCATGATGACTAAATCATGGCTTTTATATCACGATTCGTCGGCCAATCAGGTTCGACGAACACACTTGACGTCACTTGCACGTATCTAATACGAAAATTGATTCACCGTGATAATAAACCATGCCTAATACGTGTAACTTAAACTGGCCACGCAAAACCATGTCACTTCAGCGTTCTTCTTCTCGAGTTGCAGGTACTAAATTAAGGAGAATTACTGATTTTGGAAATTACATTTAGTAATAGTGGTGAACAAAAATAACAATTCAAGCTAAGCATTTTTCCCTCTCATAGACAAAATTCAATTTCCGTTTGCAAAAACCAAATTCAAGTATTTCATTCTAAGATGTACTTATAAGGCAGCCCTATTTACCTAAGCGATGGTAGAAATGTAAAAATATTTATTTTTAATGGTATTATTCAATTAATGATTCACACGTTGAATACCACACAAATTTTTCAAGGCTTGCCCGTCTGGCCAAACGGTAAAATAACTACAAACTAAATTTGCAAATATTAGACAGGTTTTTCTAGTTTTTTTAGAAGGTTCAGCATGACATACCTGAATAAAGTGGTGTGAAATATATAAGCCTACGAATTGTTTAGAAATAGTGGTGGATAAAAATCTACTAAATTGAATTTATTAAACCAAGAATCACAATTGATAAACTACCACTTGAAAATATTTAGTCGCTCTCCGGAGCAAGTTGGCATCTCTGTGTATATAAATAAAATTATTTTTGCGTGTTCTATATTGCATTAATTTCCTCAAACCATTTTAATAACGATAATAATATAAAACAATTAAAAAGTTACTTGAATTATGAATTTCAAATAATCTTTGGCTTCGCCGGTCACCGGTGACCCCCGATGGCATTCAACGTGTTAAAGTGTAGAATAGGGTGCCCCTTCGATTAACAGTCTATGTAATTTGGAGCTTTTACTGTATATAAAATCTAATATTATAAAATCTAATATAAGTAATTTTTGCTGTACTCTGCAAGAACATCAAAATTGCCAAAATAAGATGAGCACCAAATTATAAATATTTTTCTCATCTTTTAAACGTACTTTTAAGCTGCAAAAATAGAATTGAATCAAAATGTATTTTCAAAATAAATTGTACGGTAGCTATTAAATATTTTTTATTAATTCGTGCATTTTATTTGAATCAAAAATACATGGTTAATAAATATTTTTTAATTGACTTTAAAACATTGTGTGTTAATCTTTTCAAATATTACAGATAAGTTGTCAAATACAACCGAAAAAAACATAATACTACCCTTCTTTCTAGAAATTTTTTTATGAACCTTTCTTATTTTTAATAAGTTATTTTTAGTTGTTTCATGTTTATTAAAACCTTTCTTTTTTTTAATCTCCAGGTACTCAAGTAACTTTCCGAGGATACGGGTTTGCAAGTTTAATAGTTCTCATATTGTTTGTGTTTATTAACTACTATAGAAAAGACAAGGGATTCGCCTCATTTCAAGTAAGACGAATGCAATTTAAAATTACTAATGCAGGGAAATAATATTAAAACTTTATAAAAACGTCACATATTTAGTTTTACTGACTGAGATCTATACAAGAATGCAATTTTTGTACGATATTTCATTGAAAAAAAATTATTTTCATACATAATACAGTGTAACATTATAGTGCAAATAAACATTGAATAATATTTTTGAACTACGAAACTGTTGAACTACATTTGAATTGAATGCAAACTTAGACCAAAATAGACACTCGTTGAAATTCGAATATGGATTTTACTGAAGAGGTTCATATTACTCGTCAAAGAAGTACTCATTTACCTTTTATAAAATACTGCAACGATTTTAAATTATTTTTATCCTGTTTTATTAACTTTCATGTTAATGTTTGAACTAGAAATAAAGAAATAAAATAGGAAAAGGAAGAAAATGCGTGAAAATATGCATTTTTTAGCAAGAGGAGGGAAACAAAGAAAAATCCATAGAAATCGGTTCAGTATTTTATGAGAAAAGGTTCAGACATGAAAGTCAGTTGTTTTAACATAGGCTGAAAAAAATATTCGACACATCCAAAGAAAATGTGTACTGCATTGCAAAATATTATACTATAACACTAAAGTGAGAATAAATATATGATCGAATTAGGTACAAAACAAATTATATTAATATCAATTTTGGAAGATACAATTTCGAATATTTCAATACTGTTCTAATGGTTTGAAATAGCAAATTTCTTATTACCTCTTAGTCCATCACTGCTTGAAATGCAAACGTTTCAGTTTTTGAGTCATAGCGGCATTACTTTTGTAGTCTGTCACTAACTGCTTGCTAAAGTTTAATGATATGCCAGCAAAATGAATTTAGTCTAAGTATGATTAAGCATAACTTCAGTGACAAAACACATTGTCATAATTAAAAATCCATAGAGAAGGTGAAGAAACACATATTCAGTGATAAATATACTTATTTATTTACTTTTCTAATTGTTTTTTCCGACTACCTATTTTTGCCCTCTTTATAACTCAGTGATTACAACCATTATGTAATTTTACTGCGAGTCAATGCGGTATTGGTCCTCGTTAAACTGTTCTACCGTAAAATGTTCGACTTCGCGTGCAGGTCATCGGGCTACCAAAGAAGGGGAACCATCCCCTCTGCAGAGGATCAAAATTGTGATTGTCTTCGGTTCATCCTCAGGAATGTTTCCCAGACAGTCGCCAATAGCTCATTGTGCAGCTCTAGTGCAACGTAAATGAACTACAACTACTGAGAGTCAAATAATTTAGTCAACATCTTAAGAGACGCCGACCAGGTGGCCGAATGGTTAGCATGCCTGACTGCGGAGCCGATGGTTGCGGGTTCGAATCTCACTCAGGGCGTGGATGCTTCTTTCTCTCTCTGTGTTCTATGTCCCTTCTTCTGTGTGATTGTGTGAATGTAACCCGCCTGATAAACGGGTTTGTGGTTATATGACGTGGGAGACGCTACTCCACAGCCGTGGCTTAGCCATAGGTGCTCATTGGGTAATGATAAGAGAGTAGCAATTCTGGCATTTCTGAGGCTAATGGGAACTAGACCCAACTGCGTGCCATTAACTAAAAAAACATCTTAAGAGACTATCCTTTTCCAAAAGAAAAGGGGGCCGTGGTAGCCCAGTGGTTAGAGAATCGAACTTCGGTCCAGAGGGACAGGGGTTCAATCCTCGACTTCACTAAGAACCACGGAGTACATGCAGTATACATTCTTGCAAAATCTGTGGAATTGTAAGTCCTGTGGTCTATCGCTGAACAATACCATGTGTACAAAGATCTGGAGACGATTTCCTTCCTATGTCTAAATTGTGATGGCATGTCTCCGGATCACACTCAGGGATGCTTCCCAGACCGTCGCTAATATCCCAAAGTGCAGCATTAGTGCGACGTAAATAAAATACCTACCAAAAGAGAAGGACAATTTAACGAACACATTGGGGCCTCCCTAGCCTCACCCGTCGCTCCGCAGAAAGAAGGTAGCGGATTCAAATCCAGCCGTAACCCTGGATTTATATACATGACGTTTTTCTTTAACGTTTGCTATGTCTTCTTTAACTTGACTAGGGTTTAAAATCAGTACTTTGCAATAAGCATTCAAACTTGCATATCTATAAATAAACGGACACAAGCTTCATTAAGACATAAAAGAATCCCCTCACAACCAGATACGCTGAGCCTTACTTTCTTCCATTGCATTAGTTGGTAGCTTGTTTCCAATTATAAGCCCAGGAGTATGTTTTGTAAATTTTCCTATTTCCCGAATTCAATGTTTCCACTTCCAACTGGGCACAATTCCTTTTATATCTATTTGTTCCTATTTGAATTGATCAGGTAGGTAAAGAGATACGTCGCACAACTGACCTTTGGGTGACGGTCTGGGAAACATCCCTCAGGATGATCCGATGGCATGCCATTATAATTTTGATCCTCTGCAGAGAGGATCTCATTTTAAAGCCACTTTCTCAATTTAGACATCGAAGGAATTTTTCTCATGATCCCTGAACTGCTAAGAAACCGACCACGGGATTTTCAAAGCCACAGATATTACGACCACGTACATTGCAGGTACTCGGTGAGTCTTAGCGGTTGTTGTTGTTAATTTACGTCGCACTAGATCTACACAATGGGCTATTGACAACGGTCTGGGAAACATCTCGGAGGATGATCCGAAGACATGCTATCACAATTTTGATCCTCCGCTTCGGCAGCCCGACGACCTGCGCGCGAAGTCGAGCACTTTACGGTAGCACAGTTTAACGAGGCACCCCCGAGGCACACCCTCGGTCCCTACGCAGACTGATCCAAGTGGTCACCCACCCGCACACTGACCGCAGCCAGTGATGCTTGACTTCGGTGATCTGCTGGGAACCGTGTCTTAACGATCAGTCCACTGCGGGACTATCTAAACGTGTGTTCAGCTCTAAATGATTTTAACTGCACTGTTAAAAATTATTGGAAGGTCGATTGCCTAATGACCTAAATGGCCTGACATTTCTTAAATACATGATAAATTAAAATATTTCTGGTTATATTGAAACACTCTTGAATGGTATGCATTCGAAAATATTAAGATCATTCAGATACTTCCTAGGGTGAACATTGCGGCCTTCTTTCGCAGCTTTGAACTTTTATTTTAAAAAATAAAGGTCCCGAACTGCAAAAGAGAAGGTCATATTCTTCAACTATAGCTGTCAATATTTATGCAAAATTTATTCCAGGTCTACTATTAAACAGTTGTATGATATTCGCTTGTAAGTGATGAATTTGTCTAGTGGTTTTGAGACACGAACCTACAACCTTCTCTATTAAAATCTCAGATTATGATAACTAAACTCATATCAGTTTTGCCTAGCTTTATCAATTATTTAAAACTTACAAAATCAGCTAAATGGAACGCCCAATAAAAAGAAGGGCGTGATCTGTCCAATTGAAAGGTAAATTGCACACAAATTATATAAGGTTATGATAAATAAAAAAGTGATAGATGCATCCAGGGTTAAGAAAAAGAATCGAGCTCCTTGTACTCTTAGAGCTCATGGAGGAAGAACTAAACGTTTCTCGATAATATTAATTCTTTCAAAATTTCTATTGTTAAGACAAAATTAATGGTTAGCCTCAAATTAGAAAAACGGAGATGAATCCTGACTTTTAGACTTTTTTTTAATGGCGGGCACTTGGAACTATAGTCCATTGGCCACAGAAAGTGCCAGAACTGCTAACTCTCTTTTCATTACCCAGTGGGCACCTGTGGCGTCGCCCATGTCACACTACCACAACCCGTTTATAGGGCGGGTCACATTCACACACAAAGGAGAAAGGACATAGAACACACATAGAGAGAAAGAAACATCCATGCCTTGTCCGGGATTCGAACCCAGAACCTTTCTGATGTAAGGACAGTTCCCTGCCCCCTACACAGGCCGGTCGGCACTTTCAGACTGAAATCCATTCTTCTAACNTGCTGTTTATCTAAAAGAGTGTTCAGCTCTAAATGATTTTAACTGCACTGTTAAAAATTACTGGAAAGTCGGTTGCCTAATGACCTAAATGGCCTGGCATTTAAATACATGATAAATTAAAATAATCCTAGTTATACTGAAACACTCTTGAATGGTAGGCATTCGGAAATATTAAGATTATTCAGATACTTCTTAGGATGAACAGTGTGGCCTTCTTTTGCAGCTTTGAACTTTTATTTTAAAAAATAAAGGTCCCGAACTGCAAAAGAGAAGGTCATATTGTTCATCAATGGCTGTCAATATTTATGCTAAATTTATTCCAGTTCTACGACTAAACAGTTGTATGATATTCGCTTGTAAGTGATGCATTTGTTTAGTGGTTTTGAGACACGAACCTACAACCTTCTCTATTGAAATCACAGATTATGACAACTAAACCCAATTCAGTTTTGCCACTAGCTTTAACAATTATTCGCAACCTACAAAATCAGCAAGATGGAGTGCTCAATATAAAGAAGGGCGCGATCTGTCCAGTTTAAAAGGTATATGGCACACAAATTATAGAAAGGTATGATAAAGAAAAAAGTGATGGATGCATCCTGGGTTACTAGAAGAATTTAGCCCTATTGCACTCTTAGAACGTTAGGAGAAAGAACTATACATTTCTCGATAATATTAAGTCTCTTAAAACTTCAATTGTAAGACAAAATTAACAGTTGGCCTTTAATTAGTAAAGCGGAGAGTAATTCCGACTTTGACTGAAATCCATTCTTGTAACATTAATCAGCAGATGCAGCGCTTCTTCTGTGTATGTTTAAAAAATGTGAGGTTTTTTTTAATTTGATAATGTCTTTCATAAGTTTTAATCTTGTTTTCATTACAAAAATTTAGGAAATTATATTCTAATTTTAGGATGACCAGGAACCGGACACTGTTGTAGAAGAAACTGCACATTTAGCACCACATGGTGTTCCATCTAACCCAATGGCCAGGTCTCTTTCAAAACAAAACATTGGAGGTCCTAGAGCTGGAACGAATAACAACGAAGGCGGCTATGGAACTGCTAGTCCGAATCGGAACGCCACAACAGGTGGATACTTGGGAGTTCCTGGTGGAGGAGATAATGGTGGAGGTAGAAATATTCCCTAATTTTATTCTTTAGATATAAAAAAAATCTGGTCTTTCCCTGCTTACACAGGGCTGAAAGCCTATGCATATCAAGACGGAAAAGAGCGAAAACTAGAACGAAAAACATTTCATTCTAACATTTTCTCCCGAGAAAACAAAATTTTATTAACTACCAAGATTTTTTTATAATTATAACATATACAGTCGAACTTCCATTTAACGAACTTCCATTTTACGAATTTTTTCGAGGAACCAAGAACATTTTGGAAATTTCTTCGACAAATAGCGAAGTGAATTTTCTATTTAACGAACTTTTCATTGAGATCCATTTTTCCTATTTTCCAAAATATTTCTTAACATTTCAAACCTGTTAGCGCATTTTATGGGGAAATGATCTTGAATTAATTTTCGAAGCCACTGCTTTACGAAATGTATTACTGTTTTCTCTAAACATTATCTTAGAGAAAGCAGTTAATTCCCTTTTTGTTTGCATTTCAAATGAAAAACTCAGTTCAAATTTTCGAATTTTACCCGTAGCAATTAAACTTAAGAACGCATGTGGTAATGTATGGTTAAAATTACTTTTATAATAAATGCAACTACTCTGAAGAGCCAAAAAAACTGGTACAGGCATGAGTATGCAAATAAAGGGGTATGGAGCCAATCAAAGTACACCGCTGAGATCGGCAACGCGTATACAAGACAACGAGTGTCTAGCACAGTTCTTAGATCGGTTACTGCTACTACAATGCCAGGTTATACAGATTTAAATGAGTTTGAATGTGGTGTTATAGTCGGAGCACGGGAGATGGGACATAGCATCTCCGAGATAGCAATGAATTTGGATTTTCACGTACGACCATTTCACGAGTATATCGTGAGTATCGGAAATCCGGTAAGATCCCCAGACATGAACATTATTGAACATATTTGGGATGCCTTGCAACGTGATGTTCAGAAGATATCCCCACCCCCTCTTACTCCCACTGGTTTGTGGACAGCCCTGCAGGATTCATGGTGTCAATTATCTTCAGTACTACTTCACACATTGATCCAATCCATGCCACATCGTGTTGCGGCTCTTCTGCGTGCTCGCGGGGGCCCTAAACGATATTAGGCAGGTATACCAGTTTTTTTGGCTCTTCAGTGTATAATTTAGTACATAAATTGAACCTTTTTTTAGTTGAAAATGGATGTAGCATGGATAGTGTAACACTGGATAATGTTTTGCTTTCTTGCTTTAATGTTTTGCTATTCTTGCTTTCCATGCAGATTTCGTTAATGGTTAAGGTTTATAAAATAAATAGCAAATACTAGTTTACAAGATAAAAGTGTATTAATGGCTATTTTAATTATGTCTAGTGTTTATGAATTTAAAACCTGGTTTGTGGTGCTTAAGTACTTTAAAAGGTGTTTTTCCATTTAACGAATTTTCCATATAACGAACTTATTATCGGGATTTAGTGACTTCGTTAAATAGAGGTCCGACTGCATATAAAACTGCTTATTTTCAGTTTAATTGTGTATACTGTTAAATAGCAGGGGGAAAAAAGAATAGATTTCTCCATCCGAAAACTAATTATCTTTCCTTTTCTTTATTACATACATTTGCTGACTTGTGTGCTCAATATAGGCTTAAAAGTCATTGTCAAGTAGAAAATACAGATAGAACAATTCAGAGAAAGACATCACAAAGAATACATCCAGGGTTACGGCGGGATTCGAACCCGCTACCTCCCGAAAACTAATTATAATTGAAATGGTTTAACTACCAGTTTTTCTTCTTTCCCGTCTCGCTTTCACCTCTATTCTTACACCTAACCTATGGTAATCTAGATTAACATATACGTCACGCGAATTACGAGAATCTGAAATTGGACTGTTTTCCCGTCAAGAAAATGTTTCTAATTCTTTTCAAAAATTAAGTTGCAACTTACAGAAAAAAATATTCATTTAGTTAAAAAAAAAACTTTTTCAATTGGAGCATATTTTCCAATACAGTGTATAAAAAATTCAGGCGTTAATGGGTTTTATAAATTAAGTGTTTTGGACCAGTGCTCCCCAATCTTCTTATCGGCACTGACCGGTCAACGTTTGATTATTTTACCACGGCCCACTGAAGGGGAAGTCGATTGTTTATATTTTAGATTGTTTTGATTTAATAATTTTAAATGTGCATTTAAAGTAACATAAAATTACATGCGAGCTATTGGGTGTGGCTTTAGGGGACGTTTCTCAGCACTTGGTTAACCTCTCGCCGATGGAAAAACGGACACATTTGAGAGAAATACAGCTTAGTAAATAAAATGGGAATAATTTAATGAAATTAATGTACCTTGGGCCGCATGATACCATTTGATCCTTGACTGGTACCGGTCTGCAGCCCGGGGGTTGGATACCACTGTTTTAGAGTATTTAGAGGGGTAGTTGGCGAGGTCAACTCTTTAACTGATAGCCCATTCTTATCATTTCCATGATTGAGAATTGTGATATAGTAAGTAAGATTAGCAAATCATGTGATTATATTAATCAATAATTTAAAAAAGCGATTATTTTATGCGATCATGTTAAGTGATATTTTATTAAGCAATAAGTTTGAATTTGTTGAAGAGCCTGAACTGGTTATAAAAAAGTAAATAACAGTGTTGAAATTCATTTCAAGTTAACATCTAGGTGCTATAACACGGTCGTAACACAACATTAAAAAAAAACGCTAATTTATAAATCTCTAAGAATTCCTGACCCTCGTCTACTTCTTAAAAATCTGCTCATCACTTAAGCCGAAAAAAAATAGCGTTAGCTTTGACAAAAAATCGGACAACTCAATTCTTCAATTTTCGGCCAAGTAATGATTGATTTAATACCGGAACAGAAAATGTTCAAATGTTTAACACAAAAAATTTGCATAATTTTGTCACGAAGAAATCCATAATTTGTAACTTTTGTACCTTTACAATATAATATACACAGTCGCACATAGAGCCAAAACAACGGAGATCATGATACAAAGAGAAAGATCGCACATTGGCATGACTCTTGAAGAAGATGATAAAGATCGAAAATTTACATGATTCTTGAAGATGTGAACCTCGTACATTGGCACGATTCTTTTAAATTTTCAGCCGCTACACGGTGATCTGATTTTTGAAACGAATTTTTTTCTTGACTATAATTCTAATGATAGAATTTCAGAATTAGGATATAATGTCAACTTTTTTTCCAGGCTATTCAGTGGAAGGGCAGAATTATACTTCTGACTTCAACATGAATAAAACTCCTCTGGTAAATCCCGTAGAATCTGGAGGTGCACTGACAAGAAGAGCTTTGGCGGCGGTGTTTAATCCAAAGGGAATTTTGGCTCAAGCAGCCAGTCCTGAGGGCTGCTATCCATATGAATTCATAAGAAGGGACTTCCAGGTAACCTATACAATTGTGTATAGTTAAGTAGAACATAATTAACACAGATTGTAGGAATCTAAATTCACCAATTCATTTCGCTTCGTTTTTATAAATCGGCCTTTAAGCCAAGAATCACCTCTGGAACATTTAAACAAGTTTTAACTATTTAGCAAGCTCCATTTTTGGATTTAATGGGATATTTTAAATGACCAACCTAAATTTAATGAATACCTAAACATATGCAAATCATTTTTTTTCTTCTAAATCTTTAAGATGCTTTAAATTTCATATCCTAAAAATCTACCATTTATTTTTTCTTAGGCTTACGACGAAGTCCAAACTTTTACACAAAAGCCGAATGATGAAGATGGAGCCAAATACGATGTACTGGTGGGCCCAGCACCCAAGACAAAGCTCTACAGTCCTCAGCCTGAAAACCATAACGAGATCGCCTACGATTGGTAGCTTAATTTCTTTTTCATGACGCCGCCTCTTAAGGAGTGTGATATTTTAGAAAAACAGAACTGACATACAAGGACTGATTACAAGTGAAAACGCGTTTGTAACCATTATCCTACTTGGCATAATTAATAGCTTATAATTGATGGAATCGTGGGTGGGTTGTCATAAAACGGAATCACTTGTTCGACACACGGCAGTAGTGGTGGAAGCAGAAGAGCGTAACCAACCGTTGAAGAGGGTATAATATGTAAACTATATATAAACAAAGGCTGCTGAGCAGAAAGCCACAAGTCGAGCAAGTCATAACGCCACTCCTGTCGTATTCTCTAGACAGTTGAAAAAACTAATATTGAAACATGTTACTAAAAACTATTGAAATTACCGCAGAATTTGGTTGCTCAGTTAAAAAAAAATGCTCACATTAAAATGTATAAAATAAGAAATATCAGGTACATCCAACTGATTAAAAACACCCTTATGACAACCTCTATCTTTACAAACCAAAAAATATAAGTTTTCATAAATCCCAATTAATATTCAAGGTCTCTATGTATGGTTATAAGTTTATAGAGTTTAAAAGTATAGGTATCAAATGTGTATTTGTTTTGAATTAAATTTAAACTAAGCACTGTATTGTACAGGATTTAAAAAAAAACTAAACAAAAAGTACCTGATTATATAAAAATTAATTATATACTTGAAATTTGTTAATAGAAATTTTAATTTAACAAATATTTTTCTATTTTTGTAAAAAAAAAGTTATTGAAATTCAGCAAGTTGTACATAATTAATTAGTCAAGGATTTTGTTCATGCAAGGTACAAAATTATACAACAGGTACAATATTAGTATACTAATATTTCGTTAGATGTTGCCAGACACTTTGGATGATAAGTTATTGCCAAAAACTGTGGTAGCTCTACTCTGGTAATGTCAGGAAATAAATGAAATAATTATAAAAAATATAATTGTTTTGTTTTCTTAATTATGAAGCTCAGAGTACACAGAGTTATTTGATTAATTACTAAAAGCAATTACTAATAGCTGTTTTATAAATAATTATAATTTAATAATGTTTAATGTATAAAACAAAAATTGGCTCACGTAAAAAACTTTCTAGGGCTACTTAGAGAAGCAGCACATCCCTGAAAAGAAGTATTCAAGAGAAATAAAATTTTAAAAAAAGGGAAAGATTACGATAAAGAGAATCCTTTTTAATATTTAACAGAATTTTAAACGTAATCATTTGAAAAGAAGATTAAATTTTTCCATTAAGTAGCTAATATCAAACTATTTCCTAAAAAATAATAAAAATGTCTGATTGCATATTAGAAAAATTAAAAAGCTTAAACAACAGTGGTAAAATCACCAAGAAATTCTTTTCAAATTATAAACATTACGAAAAATATTTTATAAAAATCAATTTGAATAAAAATTATGAAGAAAATAGTTACAAATTAATAGAAAATTTAACCAAACTAATAATAATAGATTTAGGTAGTAAAAAAAACATTACAAAATATAAAACAAAATTATATTCCTTCAAAAAAATTAATCTTAAGCGAAAATTAAAACAAAAAACCAATAAATTGATGCATTTTTTATGTATTCGTAAAAAAAGGATTCGGAAAATAAGTATATTCTGAAAATAAGATTTCTGAGAGTTAGAACTACTATAGCTGATTAAGTTTGTTTAGCTGAGCAAAAAATAAATACGTATAAGATGTCTTAAGAGCATGTTAATAAAATATTTAAAAATTATTCTTTTATATAAAAAAAAAGTTAGATTATAATCATTTAAAAGAATCCGTAGCTCACATTTACACAACACTTAAGCTTATCCAGCTAAAGTTAATCAACTTCACCTACAAAGAATAATGCATTTGTCAATAGCATAAAATTAAGTCACGAAGGTCAAAAAACTATTTCTTGCTTGGCCATTTATAGTATGAGTCAATTTGTCAGGTTTAAACTTGTTCAAAACTGTCATAGAATTGCAATATACATGGCTTAGCTATAAAAACATTTAATAATTCATAAAAGTTAATATAAACCTTGTATAATTTGAAACAACCATTGACTATAGATAAATTGCGTTAAAAAAATTGAGCTTTTGCAGCTTGGAATGAGATTTCAAATGACAACCCTAGTCTAGATGTTTAGAAGAAACTTGTGATTGTTGCTAATACATGTGTGCCTCCCCAAAATAATCCTCTGCAAACCATAAAATGAGAGAAAGATGAATAAACTAACTCTCCAATGATATAACTTCAGATAATTTTTAATTAATAATTTTTTAACTGTTCATTTGAATGTCGTAGTTTACAGAAAAGTACAGACGCTTTTAAAGAGTGAAATGACAGAAACGAAACTTTTTTTTAGTTAAGAAAATTAATAAAGAAAAATTACAGTAATGAATCGAATCTAAATAAAATGAGTACAAGAATTCAAACATGTCTGAGGCAATATTTTCTTTGAAGATAAAAAATCTACAAAGCAATTATTTTTTTCTTTTTTAATTTTGAAATTAGTATAATAAGTAAATTCCCAGTTTAAGGATTTTAATTTTTTACAAGAATTGTTATATAAGTCATAAATTACTGAATACGCATTTATAATAGTAGATATAATTTATAGTAAGCAAATTTGTCTGGTATGAGATTATACTAATTGAGAATATTACTAGCTCACAGCAAACAATAATTTTGTAAACTTTAGAAATTATTAAAGAATTTTTAAAAAATTCCGGAAAATAGTGTAGTTTGATTTAAAAAGACAATCTAAATAACGTTTAATTTTTAGTTTAATGTTCTATACTTAATATATAGTTTGCTTTTAATTTGTCATAAAAACGTTTCCAACATAAAAAGATTTTTTTTATTATTTCAATTAAGTTGTTTGGAAAGTTGTACTGCTTTAAGAGGAAAATTTAAGCACAAAATATTTACAAATTTTGGAATACATTTTTAAAACATTCAAGTGTTATTCTACTCCATAACTTTCCTACTGGCAACTTCAAAATTATTTCCAACCAGAAGCTATTGTTTTTCGACAAAAAACAGTCTACAGAAGTTTTTTTACTTTTTTTTTTTAAATTAACACAAGAGCTTCTCAAGTGAATTTTGTTATGATCGAAATCTTCAGAAAATCTGAGCGCATGTGGTTTTTTGTGAATTGGGCAAAGCACGTCAAAGCCCTACCTATTTGTTGTTTTCAGACACTTTTCTGAATTCAGTCATGTGCACACATATCATTTAGTTTCAATCATTCTGTACTATTCAAATCTGTCTGTTACCAACCTAAAAAACAGCACCAACTTTCCAGACAACCTGATGCAATAAAATAAGCATTACTAAGTGATTTTAATTTTTTTAAACATCCTACAGCAGTGATCTCGATCCCCGGGCCGCGAACCAACGAGTTCATGGGTCAAATGGTACATTATTTCAACTTTGTTTACTGTAGTGTACGACTTTCCATTGACGAAAGGTTAGGCTGAAAGAAGTCACCTAAAGCCGCACCAATACCGTGCATGTAATTGTATTTCATTTTGAAGGCATGTTTAAATACAATTAAAAGATAAACAATAATCATCCTCCCTTCAGTAGGGAGTAAAATTATCACACATTAACCGGTTCGTGGCAATGAAAAAAGATTGGGGCGCACTGTTCTGCACCAATCTGTTCACAATCGTTTCAACATATAGATATGTTGAAACGTATACAAAGTAACGTCAACACATACTAAGTTCAAAGACCTGTTCAATTCACGAAAAAAATGAAGCGTATTTCTAATTAGCAAAACCTTATTTATATTAATACCTTTAAAAAAATCATTGGTTGTCACGTTAGGAATTTTCTTTTCAGTTCTTTTTTGTCAATCAATGAAACGAAAATGTAAAATATAGATTTGAAAATTGAATTACTTTAAAGAATTTTTAAAATTTCTGAAACATAAAAATCACACGTATTTCTAATCTGCAAAACCTTATTTATATTAAAACCTTTAAAAAAAATTGTTGGTTGTCACGTAAGAATTTTTTCAGTTTCCTTTTTGTCAATCAATGAAACAAAATATTACATGTAAAATATAGATTTAAAAATTGAATCATTTTAAAGAGTTTTTCAAATTTCTGAAACATAAAAATCACACGTATTTCTAATCTACAAAACCTTATTGAAACCTTTTAAAAAAACATTGGTTGTCACGTAAGAATTTCTTCAGTTTCTTTTTTGTCAATCAATGAATCAAATTGTTATATGCAAAGTATAGATTTGAAAATTGAATTATTTTAAAGAATTTTTTCAAATTTCTGAAACATAACAATTAAATAGGAAATAGACAAATGACTGTCATACAATAGAGGGGGGAAAAGAGCAGAGAAAACCTGGAATATAATGCAATAAAAATGGTTAATGTAAAATTTATTTTAAAATTTGAAAGTCTTATTAGTAAATCTATTTTTGTAGAGCTATTTAATTGAAAATATTGTATAAAAAAAATGTGTTACATATCCAACACTATTCAAAAAAGCAATATTAGAGAAGTATTGTCAATAATTTTAATGTAGCTGAACTCTTTTGGAAAATGTTACTATGTCCATATTTGAAGCTGTTTCATTTGTATAATGTGAATGAAAGTATTTATCTGCAGTGTCAGCACCCATGTGCCAGTCTTACCTCCTGAAATAAACGTAAAACTTTGTTGTATCCTGCTTGTTTCTTTTGTATTTAAGACAATGACTTTAAATAACACCATAGGATTTAAAAATAATCTCAAAGTATTTAAGACAATAATTTAACTTTAAAACAAATTTTTTTTTACATTGAAAAAATTATTATTTTTAAATATTTTTGTTAAATTAATGGTTGGCTAAAGAGTTTTGGTATCCAGTAACTCCATTTAACAAAATCTATACTATATAAAAGGATTTTGAATTGCAGCAATTTTTTTTGTACATTTTAATGAAAAATGTAATAATTCATAGTTAAACATTCTATTATAAATAGTATTAAGATAAGAAATTAAAGTTTGCAAAAATATCAGATTACCCGAACTTCTAAACAAATCTTAAGCGAAAGAAAAAAGATTTACTTTGTGTAATTTATTTAATATTTTCTAACCGTCAATGAACAGTCGACCCAATTTTTGGGTTTACGACTACTAATATTCAACTCCGTAGCCTTGCAATTTTGAACCCAATCTAGAAAACATGGGAACTCCTGGATCAAGCATTAGGAAATATTTGCCTTCATGGAGGACTTATGATGGAACCTACCCGCATTTGCATTACTTGGAGAGGAAAGACCATGAGAACCTCCCCTGGTAAGCCTGACGGCAAGGGGATTCTTACACAGGGTTGTCACAGAAAAAAAATGAACAAAATAGTTGCTTTTAGTAGCCTAAAGCGTGAAAATAGTAGCCAAAAACTATGAAAAATAGTTGTCTAAATAAGAACAAAAATTTTTCAATAATATTACTGAAATTGTATTAAATGACTTGTCATATATATCATGATCCATTTAGTCAAGTTGGCAGGAAATATGATAATTTTTATATAAACGTTAGAGTTTTAGCACTAAAGTTCAACATAAAAAAAAATTTGTATATTTGCAGAAAATTAAATACTTTTAATTACTAGAATTCATTCAAAAAAATACTTTTTCATTAGAAAAAAAATTCTAAAAATTTTTCCCTTTTATCAATAATTAATTGAGCAAATATATATATATTGTGATAAGTGATTACTCAAATTCAAAATTCATGCATCGTATTAAAATTGTTTTTTTTTTTAAAAAAGTCATGCAGAATTTTGTAGCAATAACCGTTGAAAAAGAGCTCAAAACACAAAATAGACTTACAATAAAATCTGTGCACATTGAGCGCATTAAAAATTGAGGAAATCAAAAATTACAGAATTAAAGTGCAAATCAAAATGTTCAAATTTTTTCAGAAAAAGAAATTCATTGTGTTCAGAAGCTCCGACAGACCGCAGGTTGACAACCCAATTTATGCTAAAAAAATATATCTAGGAGCACAGAAAAGTCTCCTTTTCCTGAAAATAGTTGCTTTTTCAGCCTTTTCAAACACAAAAAGTTGCCATAGTCGCCTCAGGCCAAAAATAGTTGCAAATAGTCGCCTGTGGCAACCCATGCAGAATTTGTATCGAACAACCATTGACTGGATTCGAACCCGGTTCACCTTATTGGAAGGCGAACGCTCTATCCCCTGAACCATCAAGGCATGATACCGTGTATATTGCAATAAATTTGTTAACACATATGTCACAATAAAGTGATAGCGAATATCTTAAAGGAAGGCCCCTAGTCTCGCCAACTCTTTCGCTAGAGCCGCAAAGGTTCAGATGATAGAGTGTTCGTTTCTCAACGAGGTGACTAAGTTCTGCTGAGCCATCACTGCTCTTTGTGCTATTTAAAAATATTTGAACAATAAATCATCATAAATTTTTTAAAAAAAAGCATCTAAAATAAGAAGCCATTAATTTAACGAAGGGAATAAGAGGCCACTAATTTCATTAGAGGAAAGTTTTCGTGAAATAAACATAGACGAAAAAGTCTATAAGAAAGGACTATACTTGGCACAAATGAAGATGTCCGTTTTCTGAGTAATAAATGTGATATTCTTAATCAGAGGAGGGATTACTTTGATGAACTGTTAAGCTCCAATCTTCTCCACAAGAGAATGTATAACAAAAATATTGAACTATATAATTTAACTATATATAAACTATAACTATATATAAATACATCCATTGAACCACCTTCACTGTTTGAAATAGAAAATATAAATTAATACAAAGTTAAGCAATAAATCACCTGCGCCAGACAACATCCCAACTGAATTTCTTAAAATTGCAAGATCTAACTGCATATTCTTATTGACTGATTGGTGATATAGAACAATGAAATCCTTCCTGAGGAATGGAAGATAGGTACCATGTGTATGATACAACAGTAAAACACATTTCCTATTTAATGTAACTATAGAGAATTATGTTCTGCTCCTCCAATACAATTCTTTCGTCTATTTTATTACTTCATAGGTTGTCACCATTTGTTGATGTGATTGGTGACTTCAGAAAGGGAAGATCAACAAATGAACAAACATTCAGTTTAAGACAAAATTTGGAAAAATGGAACCATATGGAAAAAATGGAGTTCCATATTAATACCAGTAATATTTTTTTTAGATTTTACTATAGCTTATGATTGCATTAGCATGGATTTCAGTTTGGAAACTATGCGTGAACTGGACATACCAGAAAAAGCTTGCTCTTTGCGGCCTTAACTATTAAGGAACATGGAAACAAAGATTCATTTTTGCATACGGGGTGAATTAACTGAACAGCCAGTAATAAAAAATGGGGTACACCAACAAGATGCACTGTTCCGTCTCATGTTCAATATATCTCTATAAAAGGTTATTAGAGACTGAAATAAACACCACGGGTAACATCTTAAGTAAGTCCGTGCTGATACTTGCTATTGCAGATTTTGCTTGCATTCCTCAATCTCTTTAAATAGATCTTTATGGCATTAGAACAAAGTGCAAAAGTAATTTATCAGTATGTAAAACAAAAGTCCAAATACATGCCATGTCTAAATTCAGATCTTAAAATACGCCACCTGAAAATTGGAGACAAGTTTGAAAAATAGAAAGTGTCACTAAATTAGGATCAAGATTTAACGACAATGATCTAACTTCAGAAATAAATAAACAGATCACAAATGCAAACAAATGTTTTTACAGTCTAAAAAAATATATGAAAACTAGTTTTCTAAAATTAAAATTCTTTTATATAAAAGATTTATAAGATCTGTTTTATAAAATGCATACGAGACATGGGTGTTAACCTCGAAAGATGAGGCATTTACAATTTTTGAGAGAAAAATCCTAAGTATGTTGGTGGAACTCTGGTGGGCAGCTTATGGCAAAAGGAAACAAACTGAGAATTGTATGAATTCTTTAAAGAGCCTCATCTTGTGAAATGCTTAAAAATCTGAAGAATAAAATTATTTGGATATCTAATTAGTACACTGCAAAATAGAAATTGCCAAAAACTATTACAAGCCCCACCTATAGGAACTAGAAAAAGAGGCAGACCTTGCTTTAGATGGATCAACTGTTTTGAAAAAAAGACATGGATACTCTGAAAACAAAAAATTGGGAAGTCACCAATTGGAGAGAGGCCTGGAAAAGAATTCAGAAGAAAGCCAGGGCCAACATATGGCTGTCCTACCAATTAAAAAAAAATTAACACCATTCTGAGGTTTTAAAGAAATATTTCCTCAGTATACAATCTTCTCATTCTATAAGGGGAAAAACCTTTTTTTTTTTTGGCAGGCCTGAGAAAAGTTGTCTTCAGTTGTATGCAATTATTCTAATTACTCTAACTACATGCAAAAATATGTTATTTGTTTTAATTATAAAAAACAGTAATAGCTACTAAAAATATATTAGATTATCAGATTTATATTTGTACTAAAATATATAAAATTAAAAAAAAAAAAGCTTTTCATTCATATTCAAAAATGTATCAATAATTGATTTTGTAAATTAAAGAAATTTCAACCATGAATAACTGTTTCTCTGACATCTAAATAAGCGCAAATTTGAAAAATTATTGTTGAAAATTGAGCAGTGATTGCAAGATTTTACCTTTACCATGGAAAAAGCAACAGTGTTTCATGCTGTATTTCATAACCATAAATTATTCAAATATTAAATAAAATATTTTGACCTAAATTAATAAAAAAATATGAAAAATATGTTTAATAATTTTGCATCCAAGGGTAGAGATTTGTATAATAAGGACATTTAGAATGACACAGAAGCTAACAGTGAATGACAAGGAAGATTAAGTACAAATCTAACATAACATTGAAAACTGACGCAGTTTAGAGAATTCAACAAACAATAACATGAGCACTGAAAAATATGAATACAAATTTTATTAAAGACAATTTAGAACAGTGTTTAAATACAAAATGCCGCAGAAACTTGAGCAATTAATAAACTAATCGAAAGCATTCTTATAAAAGCAACACTTAAATTTTCATTTGAAAGAAAAAATCAGAAAATAAATGAAATGAAAAAAATATTAATATGACATTTCATAGTTTCTGAGATCTACATAAAACTACTGACATGCCTGGAAATTTTGGTAATATTCAAAATTCTAACTAAGATTAAAGTTCCAGCTCATAACAATTAGAGAAATCATTCTATATATATTAAAGTATATTTAAAATTTACAAATAACTGCTTAAGGAGTTTCTCTATATTCAACAGATTTTATTTAGAAAAGAATTTGAATAACATAAATAAATTGGAAATATCAATAGAAGATATGACATTACTCTTCGTGTTAACATACTGAAAGTCTAATTTTGTTTCTTAAACATTAAAAAAGCAATTGAAATACATAAAAATATATATATTAAAAGGTGTGTATAAAAAATAAAACTTTCTTCTCCAATTTACATTGCAGGTTTATAATTTTAATAGATATAACTTAAAGACACTATAAAGATGCTCTTACAATTTCAAAAAAAAAAATAATTATAAATATAAAAACAAAATTATACTTTTACCTGTTGCAGCTCTTGATTAACGTTTACTTAAAATTTAGAAAAGATTTTTAAGATATATAAAAAAGTTATTAAATTATGTATACATTTAAAAGAATTATTTTAGTCGAAATTTATTTAACACTGAAAATACAATTCTTTTAAATACATAAAAATATCAAAAAGCAAGTATAAATACTCATTCATTATATAGATTCCTAAAAAATACCATAGAACTATCTCTTTTTCACTTAACTTTTCCGGTTTTAATTTTTTTTTAAAATTTAAGGTATAATCAAAATATAACGAAACTATAAAGAATCTTTTACAATTTGAAAAAACTTCATACTTGTAAAAATAAAACTAGACTTCCGCATGTTTAGCTGTTAATTAACATTTAAAATTTTACGGAAAGAATCTTAAGGTATTTAAAATAAAACAATGAGAACATTCGAACAACAATTTGTAACAGATTCTTTTCTTGCAAGAGACCAGAAGCTTTTCAAATGTCTCACATTTGTTTCCCCTTTTATGATGAGAAATGTAGCAAAAATAAGCTTAAGAAAAATGCACAAAATGATGGTTGTATATGTAGTCATTTACAAATAAATTAATATGTTAATTAATATACATTTACAATTCCTCTCTACTATGCAACGGTTTCAATTCTTCTATCCTTCTAATATAATCTGTCTTTTCCAAACATCCATCACATTGCTCGTCCCAGTCAGAGAGAATTTTCTTCAAATCACGTACTTTTAGTTTTTTAAGGTCCACAGTTTTCAGGTCAATAGTTTTTTCTAGATAAATAAAAAACATTAGAAGTTGCTTTAAAAATTGTAAACTTTGCTGAAACCACTGGTGGTTTCGTAACTGGACAAAATTTGAAAATGTTTCTCTCTAATACATTAGGGTGAGTAGCCAAATCTTTGAATCAAAAATAAGTGCTTTTTAAAAACTTTTCAAGCACTTTACAAAAATTTTTAAGCACTCAAAAAATTCGAACTCAATCAATGATATTATTGAAAAACAAAAACTTTTTATAAACAGTTTTAGCGTTAAAAAAAATCCAAAAAGGAACGGGGGTAAATCGAAACAATCAGTACTTTCCCACATCACCGAGTGAATTCAACTTGACCCTGAACTCAGAACAAAAGTACCCTTACCCCCAATGTCAAAAAAAGTGTTAGAAGTAAAATAAAATAAACAAAATTAAAATTGATTAAAAAGAAAAACATTTCATAAGGATCTGATATTCTCTATCTGAATTGGAGCACTCGGGTTTCGGTTTCAAGTGTGCGCGCATGCGTAAGTCATAACTTGAGTACGACATGAAGTTCGCGTGAATGATTACGTAGCAAACTCTCCATTTTTCGTGAAATGCATGGGATCCACCAGATATCACTGAAAGGGGAAAAAAATCATGCGAAAAAAAGCACTTTTTAAAAACGCCAGCTGAAAAAAGCACCTTTAAAAGCTTTTAAAAACGCAATCCCCAAAAAAGCACGTTTAAGTACTTTTTACAAACGGTACGCACCCTGTACATTATTTCATTATCTAATAATATGAAAAACCAACTTTGCTTTGCGAAGATTGCAGGTTAAAATAAGTTTTTATGTGCAGAATCGTAAGTGGGTTAAATATTTGAAAGATAATTTTTTTAAATTTAAGAGAAGGACACATTAAAATGATTTTTTATATGAACTTTCAAAATTTTTTTGACAATTCTTAGTACATACACAAATAATTCATTTAATTAACTTTCTAATATTTATTTTTAAAATACTAGCAAAATTACAGGTATTTTACCACCAAACTCTAAGAGGTGGAGATGGCAGGAAGGAAAAAAAAAATTTAAATCCTCCTTATTTAATTTACACAAATAAACTGATGCTAGAGTTTTACTCTATTTGGCAGTATTTTTTGATGCATGTAAAATACAATGCCGTCACCCATTCAGAGTTAAAAATATAAAACATGCAGTATTTTAGATACTTTTTTAAATAGTATAAGAAATATTTCATGGTATAAGAAATATTTAGCATCATTTAAGTTCGGTTTAATGAGTCCAGACTAATAAAATTAAATCTTAAAAATCTAAAAACTAACAAATGTGAAATTTTAAATGCCTGACTCAAAGCTACAAATCTCTTTTTTTTTTCTTCTTTAAAGTATTGAGGAAAATTACATAAAAGTTCTAATAAAGAAACCTTTTTATTTTAAACTTTTTTTAAAAGGTATCACACTGTTAAATAATACTATATCATCAAAAATTTAACATAAAATTCAAGATAACGAAGGTAGGAACCTCATAATGATTGTTCTTAACACATTTCAGTAAAATAGTTTAAAATTAAACCTTTCTTTACAGTAATCAAAAAATATCAAATGTAATACTTAAAAAGAGGTTGGGAAATTATAGATTACAAAAAGTATTTGGATCAAATTAATTCTGAACAAAACAAAAAAATTGCATAACAAGTTTGTATTTAGATTTAAAAGTTACATATTGTACCACACACATGCATAAAAATTGTTCTGAATTCAAGTATTTTATACATCAGACAAAATATGAAAAACATGTAGATTTAACAACTTCTAAATAAAATTTATATATACATAAAAAATAAATAAATACATACCATATCTTAAATCACAAATTTGAACATCTTTTTTCTTCAATTTCTCACAAACTTTATCAACAGGTAAGCTATATGACAATGGTTTACTCATTTCAGAAACTATCTTTGTTGCAGATTCTTCGAGGCCACCGATATAATAGCACTATGAATATAAAACAAACATAAGTATCGCACCATAGAGAAATTAATTCTAAGAAAAATTTTTTAAAAAATACCACAAAACCACTACTTGAAGAAAGAAAAAAAAATTTCTATATTTTGTATAGCAAATTATATAAAAGAATATACCAAATAGATAAGAGTTTTGTAATTTCAAAATCACAGAATATTTCAAACATACTTGCAATATACTTAAGACGTAATTGGCAAGTTTTTCACTCTGTTTTGGTGATTTTGACTAACATTAGCTTTAACACATTTAATTTTACAAACTACTTTAAAAAAAAAAGAATTTAATTGCAAGTGTAGTTTCATTGCCATTTGTTAGAATAAAGACTTAAAAAATATGTTACTGTTTTATACATAATCTATGTTGCATAATGATCCAGACCAAATGGAGGAAAAATTCTAAACCCCAATTTTAAATGAAGAAACTAACTTTATAAAATCTATTATATGAAAATATTTTAAAGTAAATTGAAATCTTCACTTACAAATCTTTCTTCTGATTTCTTGGCTGTCAAGCAGAAATTTTTAAATTTTTTTTCTATAGCTGGTGCAGATTTCTCAGAAGGTTCTAAAGACTTCACTAATTTATTCAAGACTCCAACACAAACTAAAAAAACAAAAGTGATTTGTTTTAATAAGAATGAAGTAAAAAGAAAAACAAAAATTATCAGATAAATACAGAGACTAAATAAAAAAAGAAATCTTTTTAAATTATGTAAACTAAAGAAATAAATAAAAAAAAATCACTATCCCCCCCCCTAATTTTACTTAGAAACAGCTGATCAAATGAATACCAGACAAAACAAAACATGCAAAATGCAAAGTATGGGCTCACCTTCTTGGCTTTATAAGGACTAGATAATAAAAGCCTAGAAGTTTTAATTAGTTGTATTTGCATTACAAATTTATTTATTTATATTTTTTAGATGAAATTGCTTATACATTATGAATATTTTTCCATTAAAAATCTCTGCAGTGGCAGAACTTAAAAAAAATGCAGTCATTTGTCTGCAAGATCAGCCTGTAAATATTTCTACTTGTCCATTTACATGCCTTGATTAGCTCTTTTAATTAAAAGTTAACATAGTTAATTTAAAAGAAATATTACAATAAAGAGAATGTGTAATAATCACAATTATTTTGAAACATATTATTTTGTAACCAATCCAGCTTTCCTTTCTTTGTACATTTAATGGAGGTCTGGGAGACTGAAAATATTTCACGGTAGTCAGAGTCACTTTTTTTTTTTGTCCATTTACATGCCTTGATTAGCTCTTTTAATTAAAAGTTAACACAGTTAATTTAAAAGAAATATTACAATAAAGAGAATGTNGGTTGACATAATTTAAAACACTTGATTTAAACTATGATTAAAATTTCGATTAAAAATTACTTAAAAATGCAAGCGAATGATTAAATGAAAATGAACGATAAAAATTATTGCTTAAAAAAAAGAAAGTGAATTAATAAATAACAATGAACGATAAAAATTATTGCTTAAAAAATTTATTTAAATCAATTGCATATCTGCTTTTTGTAAAAGAGATTAAATTACAGGGTTGAATTTTTATCAGGGAAAAACCAGTTTTTACAAGGACATCGTAAAAACCATGGGAAAAACCTGGTAAATACTATTAACCCATGTTTATTTATTTACCGATAGAGAGATTTGTTATTTATAACTGATTGGAATATATATTACCTCTTTATTGTAGTTAATATTAAGAATTATTAGACAATATATTTTTATTTAAGTAACAAACCATTCGACAATGATATAATGTAAGCTATTTCGAAAATTGTAATTATAAAACTAATTTATCACATAATCAGTTGAAGTAAATCTTAACTATTATAAATGTATTATATTTTCAATATGAGCTGATAACCAAAAACTAAATATTAAAACCATAATTACAAATTACATATATCATTGTGTACTATAACTTGATACTTTATTACACGTGCATTTATATATAGAAAATAACTGGAAAGCTCAATTGAGCAAAATTTTGGAATTTTATATAAAAAAAAAAAATTTAAAAATATTTATAATCTTTTTTCTTACAGAAGAATAATCAGAACGCTAAAAAATATATAGTAGCTATAAGGGTTTATCTTACCAATTTATTTTTTTTTTAATAAAATTATGATAAATAATCATTTGATAATATAAAATTAAGATAAATAATCATTTGATAATATAAAATTAAGATAAATAATCACCCCCAGTTTCTCAAAAGTGTGTTTTAACTCCCAGAAAACTCCCACAGTATGTTTTAATTCTCAGAATTTCCAGTGCTATGTTAAAATTCTTTGAAAATCATAGTTATAAAAGTAGTGTATTTAAATTCCCTAAAAAATCCAAGTTTTACCAGTGGTATGTTCAGATTCCATGATAATTTATAGATTTTCCCTGCTTTCAGAAGAAGTGGTCACATGGATAGCATTAATAAGTGGTTACCCCATTAATAAGTTGTTTTGAACAGCATAATGCATACATCACCTCTAAAATATTTACTTTTTAAAATCATATATCCATTAATCTAGGTTTTTAATTTAATTTTTAAGTATATTCAAAGCGGAATTNAGCTGATAACCAAAAACTAAATATTAAAAGCATAATTACAAATTACATATATCATTGTCTACTATAACTTTATACTTCATTACACGTGCATTTATATATAGAAAATAACTGGAAAGCTCAATTGAGCAGAATTTTGGAATTTTATAAAAAAAAAAGTTAAAAAAAATATTAATAATCTTTTTTTTTTCCTTACAGAAGAATAATTAGAACGCTAAAAAATATATACAGTGAATTCGTGATAACTCGAATCTGATAAGACTGATGAAAAACTTCGACACATCGGAAGTTCGACTTACCGTTAGTTTCGGTTTTGGACTTTCAAAATATTGTCGCATTATTTAATTAATGATTATTAATTACAAATCTTCTAAATGCTTACAATATTTAAGATCATTTTTCTGACAAGCCATTTACGATAAGACTGCTTGAAGCACTTTATGATATACTGGTCCATCGGCTGCAACTTTGCTGTTGTGTCACTATGTGCTGTGCATTTATCCATAAAGTGTATTACTTTTCTTTTTTTAGCGAAGAATTTCCGATCCAACTTTCTCACATAGTCTTCAGATAAAACTGATGTCATCCAAAACTTTTTGTTAGACTTGTAATCCAAAGGATACGTTTTTACATTCTTGAAACATCGGGGATTTCGGTATTTTCCAATAACAATTAAGGACAATTTCTCTGTCCCAGACGCATTTCCTCCAACTAGGACAGTCAAACGTTCCTTGCTCATTTTACACCCTGAGCAGTTTTCATCCTTCAACATCATAGTCTTATTTGGAAGACATTTAAAAAATAAAGCCATTTCATCAATATTGAGAACATTATTTTCACTGTATCCTTGAAGTAAATTTGGTAACGTTTCATTTAACCACTGTTCACATACTTCAAGAGGGACAGCTTTAGCTTCTCCATGAAGAGTGCGAAAGACAATATTGTGTGTGTGTTGCAAAGGAAGGGGCAAGATATCAGCTCCTAGGCTTTTTTTCTTGCTTAAAAAGATCCAAAAAGAAAATCGAGTTAAAGGGAGTAAAATTAGAGTAATCAAGAATAATTAACATGAAATTAAAGATAAAAGGGTCGGGACCTCATAAAAAAATCGAGTTATAGTAATATTCGAGTTATCGTACTTTGAGTTATAGCGAATTGACTGTAGTAGCTATAAGGGTAAAAAAAGGATTTATCTAACCAAATTTTTTTTTTGTATATAAAATTATGATAAATAATCATTTGATAATATAAAATTAAGATAAATAATCATCCCCAGTTTCTCAAAAGTATGTTTTAACTCCCACAGTATGTTTTAATTCTCAGAATTTCCAGTGCTATGTTAAAATTCTTTGAAAATCATAGTTATAAAAGTAGTGTATTTAAATTCCCTAAAAAATCCAAGTTTTACCAGTGGTATGTTCAGATTCCATGATAATTTATAGATTTTCCCTGCTTTCAGAAGAAGTGGTCACCTGGATAGCATTAATAAGTGGTTACCCCATTAATAAGTTGTTTTGAACAGCATAATGCATACATCACCTCAAAAATATTTACTTTTTAAAATCATATATCCATTAATCTAGGTTTTTAATTTAATTTTTAAGTATATTCAAAGCGGAATTCAATATGTTCAATTACCTTCTTAATATCTTATGTAGAGAGCAGGACCTGCTCCTCCACCAAGACAAATGCAATAAAATTGTATATTCAGCAACAAAAAAATTGTGCTTAAACAAAAGTATTGGCAAATGATTTTTTCAACCGAAAAGAAAAATAGATACACCTCTCGATGTTGGAGAGAAAAAAAGTAGAAAGGATTTTTTTGAACAAATTCTGTATTTATTATTAGATTACATTAATTTCTGCTAGATAATCACATAACCAATTAGAATTAACATCAAAATTTTTCATCCACTCTCCCATTTACTGCTCATTTAGTTCTCCGCTGCAAAATGACTCTTGATTAGAATTTGCATTTTATAAAGTAATTCAATTTATAGTAAATTTGTATTTTGTTTCTACAAGAAAAAATCAATTATAAAAAACTAATTTGCTTTTAGCTAAGAATTTTGAAATTTGGTTAATACTTTTGATATTTGGCTAATTTAACACATGATTTGGGTTTTGGACGTCCTAAACTGGTTTTGGACAGGACATGTGGGTTTTACTGTCTTAAACTGTCCTAAACCGTCTTAAAGTGTCCAAAACCTTGAACTTTGGTAAAAGGTAAAAAATTCTATATGTGCAACCATTGTATGCATAATAATTACACATACTATCAATTAATATTTTATATTTTTTATACAATTTACTTATTATTAAAGGAATATAATATAATAGGAAAAGGTTTATAATTTTTGAAGCTCCACATTTCATTGAACAACAAAAGTGAATATACCTTAGCCTTTAAATATAAATATGCTTTTAATACTGATAAATAATGTTTTTGCATAAGGAAAAATAATGCAATATTAAAAATAATAATAATTTTTTTTAAAAAATAATAAATTTGTTTAAAAATTAACCTTTTATTTTTGACAATAATTTTTTTTTTTTTAAATGTTATAATTTCTGCATCACAGGATGATAAAAAAAGATATCTATTTTTAAAAAAATTGTTTTTAAATATATATATTAGTTTCAATTGGAAATAAAAAACAACTGAAAAATGTATAGACAGTTTTAAAGGGCATAATATCAGTTTGTCACTGACACTTTGGTGATGTATCAACACTACGCTAAAAGAATTCAACATGAATGAAATAAAAGTATTCCTGAATAGAAAATATCCTATAGATAAATGAACCTTTTTATGACTAACCAAGCATTTAGTGGGATTACAGCAGCAAAATTTGTTATGTGCTATCAAATGTTAAAAGGACCAATTGAACTTGATTACTGATTAATCTTCCTTTGTTTAATGTTTAAATTGAAGAATCAAACAACATTAATAAAACATTTTAAAAACAAATATTCTCTAATAGATTTAATTATCAATATGTTATTAGTTCTATGTTTATTTTACCTTTTAAACATTGTTCAGATAAATCGTGACATAATTTGAGTTAATTATTCAATTTAATAACATAAATACAATCAGAATGCATATAAATTACAATCAGAATGCATTTTTTTAAATAGAAAATGTGACATTAAAAAAATGCCAACTTACACTAAACAAATACTACAATAAAAGAATGATCTGTCAACCATGACTATAAATATTTTTTTTTTTTGTTTATTCAAATAAAAATTAAACAGTTTGAGAACTAAAAGGAGAAAATATGTTTATTAAAAATTTTAAAAAAATCAACAGATTTGATTTGACAAGAGTTTATATTAAACATTTACGGACAATTTCATTGGGACTTTGGTTAGTTTTTTTTTTTTTTCAATTGTTTTATTGATAAATATTTATTTCTTTAAAAAAAATTACATGGGATGTTATCAACAGCCAAATTTTATGCATATTAGAAAAATAGATAAATAAAAAAAGGATTTAGAAGAAAAACAAAATGTGTGATTTTACATAGGAAGGACACAGTAAAATGCTATTTATCTGTTTTGAAATTTTCATCTATAAGCAATGATACATTTTTTAAAAATTTTACTTTAAAAAAACTTTAAATTAACAGGAAATATAGAAGGTACACATGAAATGACATGTAGAAAGTCGCCAACAGAAAAAAGTTCTTGTGAGGAGGGTTACAATTTCTATATGACTGATGCTACAAATACTAACATTAAAATCTTAATTAACGTTTTCTATCATTATTTCAAATACCTAAAAAGAAAAACTTTGATTTTATATCTAAAATAGTCAGAAATTTGTAAATGGAGTTATATTATTAAATGTTTATTTTTTTGTTATGTTGCCCTTTGTATCATGAATTGACTTAATGAAATTTCAATTTTTACAAATCATTATTTTTTAAATATTGATCGGCTACATTATACACTTTTTTGACAGACAACTTTTACATTATAATAAACATCTAACACATAGCTGCTATGGTTCTTAATTACATAAATAGTAGAACTTTAAAAATTTGAACATTAAAAAATAAAAGTGAACTAAAATTATTTTATAAGAATCTATATTCTCAAAGTTATTTACCTTCACATTCCCCTTCCTTCAGAGCACTTGTCAATGGTGAGACACTAATAACTAGTAAAAATGTCAAAAAGTTTATAAGTAAACTTGCCATCTTAAATTGAGAAGCTAGTAGACAAATTATTAAGATGGGACAATTGATTTATAAACAACTTCAAAGCGCAAGAATGCAAAGTAAAACTTAAAATAATCTATCAAAAATACTTTACTCATACGGAGAAACAATATAGATATTTAAAGCACTTTTTATTCAGAATTGAAACTGAAATATTTTGAAAGAAAACACTCGGGCAAACAATCAAGACCCACGTAAGCTTACCGGTAATGCCAGCTGTACGAATCTGATTGGAGAAATAACGAGGGTTATAAGTGCGCAACCATGAAAATTTGTCGCTCTCTACATTTCACAACTTCAACTTTTATTTTTACAGATAAAAGCGACATCTACAGAAATGTTTGATAAGGAAAGTAAAAGGTCAGAGTGTTGTTACTTTTCTTTTGCTTGTATCTAAACTTTAAACTACAAATTTTTCTCATACAGAATAAATTTTTTTAAATTTTAGATTAAATTCCCTTTTAAAGCCATCCTAGAAACTCGTCCCAATGAAATTTGTTTTTCTTTTATCTCTAAAAACTTAATATAATGTCCTTAGTAGTAAATATACAATAACTCTGACACTCATTTCATGGAGTGAATATCACATTTTTTTTAAAAATAATTTTTTCTATAAATAAATAAAAGCATTTTAAAACTATAGTCACCTTGCTTTTAGAGATTTGCAATACCTTATCTTTAATAACATAATCAAAATTTATTTTATTACATTCAGGTGTTTATGATACATTAATAAATTTATAATTAGTGTGTTGTAACTTTTAAAGTTCCACGTGATAATATGGTAAATAAATTCAGTTATACCAGTAAATTTATTATATTTAAATAACTTTGCAAAATGACATTCTTAAATGCATTTTTAGCAAATCTGTAATAACTTGTTCTTCTTTGAACGTTTTCTTTGAGGGAATTATCGAGTAACAAAGACATGGAACTTTTTTTTTTGCTTAATTCCAATAAATAATTTTAGAACCATAAGATTTTCAAGCCTCACCTCAAAAAGTTTTGAAAACTATTTATTTATGTTCAGTATTCTACATTTATATATCTCTTATGATCCAAAAGCAATAAAACAATTTTATGAATAAATTACAAAGATTTTTTTTCCGCGTAGCATCCCAAAATAATTTAAAAATTTTTTATTGCGTTTTAGCCACTTTAAATAGTTCAGAAAAGTGATCTTTTCTTCTTTTTTCGTGATGCAATTATTTTAAAATGCTTTACTTACTCACTTACATATAATGCTTTTGAAGAATAACCTATTTTTTTTCATAGATACGATTCAGAAATAATGCTTTATAGTTTCAATCTGATAATGATTAATTTTTAAATTGTGTTAAATGGCCTATTATCTGGACAAGTGATAAAAATTTCACAAACAAGTTGCGTCATAATGACGCAATACGCCGAGAACTTCGAAAAAACAGAGGCTGGGATAATGTCCACAGTAGTTTAATTTTTCTTCATCACTTGTCATTATTTAACACTAGATAAATAAACTTAAACCAGCTGTGACTCTACAAATATTAATTGCACTACAAATAAACCAAAAAACATGCTTGCAACACGAAGTTATCGTGGAATCGAAACGGAATGTCAAGAAGGTACGTAGCAGACAGATATATAATGAATTAGAAATGAAGCGTGATTGCCTTTTACGCAATGTAAAGCGACAGCTTTTGCCTTGGAGTATAAAACAGCTGATAAGTAGAATTTGTTTACGTTTATTACCATATTTATTAACATTCTCGTTATTGAGTTTGAGGAGTAAGGTTGTATTGCAACCAAACTCCAGTCCAGCTTCGATGTCTTATGAACGACGAGGAAAGCGGTCACCTACCGTGAGCAGAGTATCTGCAACTCATGACCAACCACATGCGATCGATTTAGTACAAGATTATTCCAAAGTATAACAGAGCTGAAGGAGATCTAATCCAGATTTGGTCATCTTTGGGAAGAATATGAAAATTACCTTTCACTGTGAGATTCAGTCCGAAGAACTTAATTTATTTTAAAAGACTTAGACGCAAACTAGTTCACATCATCAGCGAAATAGAAGCAGGAGAACCTCCACAGGAACCGACGGCTGCTGAGTGATCTTCGGTAAGATAGTTCCGGAGATTTCCGAAGCTGAAGACGGGAACTCTCTTGATTAAACGGCCCGCAAGAAAAGAAAAAAGTAGAAAGCCACGAAGAACTTAGACAAGACAGGGATGGATACTACTTCAGTTCCTGAATCTGCAGAACTAACCAAGAGCTCTGAACAAGTTTCCAATCTTAAACAGTCTAGAATGCACATTTCGGATAGCTTTAAAAATTGAAAAATATGAATTATTTCATATTTGTAGGAAATTATTACTTAAAAAGGTGATGACATTGTTAGGGTACCTGTTTTTTGCAGTAAATAGTCTTAAAAAATCTTCGAACTTCTTAAAAAGTCTACATAAAAAAATTACATTATTTCTTTATTGAGATTGATTTAATCAAGAACATCTGTAAACTAAAACTTACGTTTTTTATATTTTCTTACAATAAAAATGAAATAGAATTAATTCGTCATAATTTTTTCCCAATATGAAAAATGGTATTATAATGTAACAATCTTTTTTATTGTTTTATAAATAAAATATTTTTATTTCTTTGCCAAAATTTCCTATGCAGTTTTTTCTAAAACAAACATTCTGACTATATTTTTAAGAAATAATTATAGCTCGATTCATCATGGCAAAAGCATCTTTTATCTTATTTTAATTTAGTAATTTCAGGTTCGAGTAAGTTCGGTGTCTAAGTCAGCGGTTCTTAACCTATGGGTCGCGACCCAAAATTGGGTCGCGAAGCATATTTCTAGGGTCGCGCTGAGTCGAACCAAAAAAGTTAGTAATACACCAAATAATAAGTAATACCAACACCTCTTAGAAGAAGTCATTGTGGCTACTCAGCCTAATTTTGACTTTTTTTTGGGTCGCGACATGAACATATTTCTCAAATTTGGGTCGCTGCTTAAAAAGGTTAAGAATCACTGGTCTAAGTTACTAAAGTAGATACGGACTCGCAAATCTGTTGGTTAATTAGATATCTAGTACAACAGTTAAAAGTGCTATCCTGCCAAATACCTGCCAAATTGGTGTATTTGGCTATACCACACTTCAAACTTGGTAGAAATAATTACAAAATGTAAAAATTGAATTAAATCAGGTCTGGTTTATTATATCCAATTATTTATATCAGGTGCATGAAACAAAGTGTTATATCAAAAAACAAAGTCTATCTAATATAGTTATGCGTTTTTTTTTTAAAAAAACCGTGTATTTGTAAAGTAATCCTAACAAAAAGAAATTAATAAGTTATTATTACAAAAAAATTTTAATCACAGACCTATAAATGAACTTCCAGATAAAGAACTTACAAAATACACAAGCTACATAAATAACTACACAAGCTACATAAATAAAAAAAATTTACGCAATCCAGGTAAGAAAATATAATCTTGAAAAAAAAAAACTAAGTATTTTCATTTAATTTCTAATAGAAATAAAATGAATAACTGATTTTTATTAATTTCTGCAATGCTTCTGAAAAAAACTTTTCTAACGAAAAATACCTGTCTAAGCATTTTAAAATTTATTTTCTTTATTTTATTTATCAAGGGTAGTTGACGGGAAGAAAACGAATATCGAATTGCGATTAAGGTTCGTTCCCCCACTATATTTACGCATTATCATTGTAAATGGCCAACTGCAAACACCTTTTGTCTTCTCCCGTATAGAATTTGCTTTCACGCTGCCCGGCCCTAAAGATTCAACAAGCAGCAGCCACTTATGTCCTATTCTTCTGCATTCCCAGCTCATCGTTAACCATTTTTTGGTGAGCCACATTTAGAAGTTACTTGAGTTCACTAAAGATAAAGAAGTCTTTAACATCTTGAATACAGTTATCTACACAACTATCCAATTATCAGCAAAGAGGATTAATGCTGTCAGTTCCAATGATGTCAATCTTTGCTATCACCATCAACTAGATCTTTTTGATATCAAATATACCGATATCATACTTCCATTGCCTTTACGGAAACAATGTGTTAGATGAAGAAGCAGGTTCCTCAAGTAGGTACCTCGTTTAAGACATCACATCGAAGCATTGTTTACGTGTGCATAATTTGCCGTAGAGGAAAGCTTTTAAGTAGATGCCGTTACGCTGACATCGAAGATGACATGAGCAGCTGTCAGAGTTCGAGAGGGAAAGAATCATCGGGTAGTCAGCCCGATGAATAACCCACCAATTAGTTCATTCTGATTCTACTGTGAGGTGGTGTTGAGACAGGTGGATAGGAGAAAGGTTGCTTACGCTGAGACCAAGCACCTTCGACAGACCAATAATCGAGAGGGCCGTCATTTCATGCGACGCTTACGCATATTTCATATTGTCTCTTCGTCCGCTGTCTGGAGACAAGCAGCATCTTCTCTACTGTTTCTTGAGTGGGTCTGGAAGGACATTTGCCATCGAGGAGGTCATTATGTGTGCTGCCATCGATATCCACCTACTATTGACTCCGTTTGAAATGACTCTGCACTCGACGGAATTAGACTGCAGCCGAATGAAACCAGGTCGCACTCAGTGAGGAATCCAGATTCAATTTGAACTGTGAGAGTCGTGTGCGAGGGCGGAGGTCGTGTAGAGGACGACTCTATTCTGCTTACGCGTTACAGCTGCACTCCGCTCTTACAGCTGGTTTAAAGGTATGGATTGCAATCGCATACGACTTACGATGACTCCTAATATAGACCACGGCGCCATAACAGTCCAACGTGATATTATCCAGCCACGCGTGTTTCTAACCATGGTTGGGCTCACAGAAGTCATTTTTCAAACGGGCGATGTTCAGCCACGCACAGAAACGTCACTGGACTGCATCTACCACCCTACTACCCTCCACTCGATCAAAAGATCTGTCACTGATCGAGGATAGCTGATTAGGGACGGAATGTTGGGCATTTTTCAAGTTTTACTGAATTAGAGGTGCGTTTACAACAGGTGCGGAACGAGATGCCGTAGGACATCATAAAGGACTTACTTGTATGATCAATTCCCAACCGTATCGGATAGTGTTTTAGAGCTAACGGTCTTCCAACAGGATACCAAATATCTACATTCATTTATATATTTGTGATGAGTTTGCTTTGATTTTTTAATCACTTACTTATATCATTATTACACTAACATATGTAAAATTTCGTTTCTTTCTGCGAATTTCTTAATGCGTT